TGAGGTCATTACATGCTGAGGGGAATTTGCTGTGTCATGCTAAGCCCAGGCTGCATTGCATCAGACTTTTCTTAAAATTAGTAAATACTGCAATGTCCTTACTTCCAATAATTTAATCTGTTTTTCACAAATGCTTGGATTAAACTTGGGCCATAATGTTAGACTGAATGCAGTTTTGAGGAGTATGTGTTTTTTTATATGGTGTTTAGGGAAAATATTAATCATTCTCAGCATATAGCCATATATCCCAACACTTTCCATGGTCTCACCGGATTACAGGGTAAAGGCACCTCTGCATTCACTGAAGACGATACAGTGAACCTCACTCAACGTTCAAGACCAGAGATCAGGTGACTCATTGGTCTTTTGCTCTTTGTTCACTAAGGGCCAATCAGAAAACACCACTAGCTGCTCAATATATGAACCTACTATCTGAAATTAAATTGTTAGCCTGAATCTATCGGCGCTTTACATTTTTCTTTGAGAGATTAAGATTTTTTATCTGCCATCTAAAACCTCATTATTTCTGCTGGAGCTAGTTGTATAGTTTACCTATTTCAATTTTAGCCATCCGGAGTTTACGCCTGATTTATTAAGGTAAAGGTTAAGACTGGTTTGGTGCTCCTTTGCAGCCAGAGGTATAAGGAAATGCTTCTGTTTAAGGCACATGATCTTTTTTCTAGAACGGTCTAGTCAAAGATCACTCATTCAATACATTTAATGACGATTTTATCGTAAAATTAATTTTAAAAATCAGATCAAAGAATCTGGATTAGATTTACATGTTTGTGCACAAAAACAAGTCTTTTCCTTTAGCTCGATTTTGATCTTAGTTGAGATATTTATAAAAAGACATAAAAATAAACTATTAAAAAATGAAACACTTTTCCCATAAATATTTACACAGACAGGGTTAAAGGAATAGTACACCCAAAACATGATTAGCCTTCATTTTCTACTCACCCCCATGCTGAACAACACCCTGGAGTACTTTTTTGATATCTCAAATGCATCTGGAGATCTGGGAGGCTTCTTGCTGTCTGCTGACATTCAAATAATGGAGGTCTGTGGTGCCCGAGACAGAAAGGTCCATAAAAGTCCACAAAAAACGTGTCAATATTCCTCCATACTGGTCGTCCAATGTATTCCAAGTGTCCTGAGTGGGTAGCATCCAGAATTTACTCGAAACGAAGTCATTTAGAATGTTTTTAGAGCATAAACAGTAGTGTATAGGATTTCCTGAAAGCGCGCACATGCGCGATCACGACGCTACGGAAGCCGGCAGACCAAACCAGATGAAAGTGCGCATTCAGCGTCTGCTCTTCCAATAATGCAAGCGTAGAAGAAGAAATGTGCCGTTTACCTGTACAAAGAAAGAAACAACGAAAGAAAAATGTCTGAGGACTTCAGTGTTGAGGAAGAGCATGAGTTCTTTGCCGAGCTGAATGCGCTGGTTTGGTCTGCCGGCTTCCGTAGCGTCGTGAGCGCGCATGTGCGCGCTTTCAGGAAATCCTATACACTACTGTTTATGCTCTAAAAACATTCTAAATGACTTCGTTTCGAGTAAATTCTGGATGCTACCCACTCAGGACACGTGGAATACATTGGACGAGCAGTATGGAGGAATATTGACACGTTTTTTGTGGACTTTTATGGACCTTTCTGTCTCTGTCACCATAAACCTCCATTATTTGAATGTCAGCAGACAGCAAGAAGCCTCCCAGATCTCCAGATGCATTTGAGATTTCAAAAAAGTACTCCAGAGTGTTGTTCAGCATGGGGGTGAGTAGAAAATGAAGGCTAATCATGTTTTGGGTGTACTATTCCTTTAAGGTAAAGGTTAAGACTGGTTTGGTGCTTCTCCTTTGCAGCCAGAGGTATAAGGAAATGCTTCTGTTTAAGGCACATGATCTTTTTTCTAGAACGGTCTAGTCAAAGATCACTCATTCAATACATTTAATGACGATTTTATCGTAAAATTAATTTTAAAAATCAGATCAAAGAATCTGGATTAGATTTACATGTTTGTGCACAAAAACAAGTCTTTTCCTTTAGCTCGATTTTGATCTTAGTTGAGATATTTTTAAAAAGACATAAAAATAAACTATTAAAAAATGAAACACTTTTCCCATAAATATTTACACAGACAGGGTTAAGAGTTTAAATGAGCGCTGTAGCTTTGCCTAGTTAGCAGGAATGAATCAGCAAAAAGATCAATCTGTTGGTAGAGATGACTTAAAAGCTGTAACTGCTTCATAACAACAATGGTGTTATGAAGCATTGGTTTAGAGAGACTGAACACAGATACAGATTTTCTTTTTATATAATTCTTTCTAATCCAATGCTGCTTTTTGTTTGTCCATCACGTTAAATCACAATGCAACAAATCAGCATTGCTGGTTGGGAAGTAGCAGATGTGATAAAAATTCAAGGAATATCAATAATTTTACATAATAAACCAAACTATGGCACTGTTCAAATGATTAAATATACTTGTCTCAGTACATTAAGATAATAAAAAAATATATTTAAAAAACAAGTAAATTCTATTCTATCTAGTATTAAAAATTACAAATAAGTTAAAAGAAAAATTGATAGGCATAGTGGATATGTGGCGTTTGCTGCAAATCTCCTTGAATAATCCTAACTAGTAATAATCTCTCCTCAGCCTTAAAACTGCCAATAGGAACATGGTGCAATCTTGACCTGGAGTAAAGCGAAAGACTAACGTCACTGTTTATTTTTGCCGGCTATAAAACTGATCTAAAATGTGTAGAGTGATTACTTGGATAAAAATGATCAAACTTCTTTGGTTATATTCAGTGTCAGCCCGTTAAGCATTCACTGTCCTGCTTTAGTGAATGAGAACAAATCAGCCCAAATGTTTCAGATGTATTACCCCATCATGAAACATCAAAAGCATCATCATTTTAGATAATACAGGAGACTTTTAGTGAAGTCTGCACACAGTTTGACCACATCTGTTTTCATTTGTGTCAATGTGTTCTGCTGATTAAGTCTGATTCACCATGTGAATAATGCAAGTTGTATAAAAAATAATATTTTTGTCTTTCATGCTGATGCTGATTTTCAGCAATCTGTCCCGGTGCTTTTTACACCAGTGCTGGCTATGAAGCTATTGGTTTCAAACATGTTTTTCTAAAAGGTCCTGCTAATGCATCCAAGTGGTTTGGAAACACTGAAGTCAATCATTTAATCACTATAAATTATTTCCTCTTCATCTGATAATAGCAATACAAAAGATCCCCTTGAATGGAATGTTACAAAAATGAGAAATCTCCTGTCCTGAGGTGATGCTGAGAAACTAGTCCATGCATTTGCTACTTCAAGGCTGGACTATTGTAATTCTTTACTATCAGGAAGTCCACAAACTGTAGTTAAAAGCCTTCAGCTGATCCAAAATGCTGCAGCCAGAGTTCTGATGAAAATGAAAAAGAGAGATCCTATCGCTCCTTTCCTGGCTTCTCTTCATTGCCTTCCAGTTAAATCCAGAATAGAATTTAAAATCCTCCTCACATATAAAGCCCTAAATGGCCAAGCTCCATCTGATAGAGATCTGATTGTTCCTTATGTTCCTAACAGAGCACTTCGCTCTCAATCTGCAGGTTTACTAGTGGTTCCTAGATTTTCTAAAAGTAGAATGGGAGGCAGATCTTTTAGTTATCAGGCTCCTCTCCTGTGGAACCAACTACCAGTTTTAGTCCGTGAGGCAGACACCCTGTCTACTTTTAAGGCTAGGCTTAAAACTTTCCTTTTTGATAAAGCTTATAGTTAGAGTGGCTCAGGTAATCCTGAGCTATCTCTATAGTTATGCTGCTTATAGGCTTAGACTGCTGGAGGACATAGGGACCCCTATTTCATCATTCTATTTCTATCTTCACATTCTGCAGTATCTGTTAGTTCAATCTCTAACGCTATGTCCTCTGCTTTTTCTCATAGTAGCTTCATCTTTATTAGCTGTGCTGCTGCCATCAACACCTTTGTTTATAAATGTTGGAGCTTGGCCTGTTTTTCAGTGTAGTCCTGTTTCTCTGACTGTGACTAACTGGATGTTCTCTCTTCATCCTCTGACATGAGAGCTGGCTCGGAGCTCGTGTGTTTCCTGGAAGGGGCCGCCTTTTACAGGTGCCTTTTGTATCTCTGCTTCTGTCTCTTTGAACCTCAGTCAGCCTCGGCCGATGGTCACTCACACCATCTGTCTGGTTCTGCTGGGGGTTTCTTCCTGGTCAAAGCAAGTTTTCCTCTCCACTGTCTCAACATGTATGCTTGGTGTGAGGGATTGCCTTAAAGTCATGAGTCGATGACATCAGCTGGTTTTCCTTAGAAAGAAAACTTTTGAATCAATTTGATCTGGTTGAATGTCTCTGTAAAGTGCCTTGAGATGACGCGTTGTGAATAGAAATAAACTGAATTGAGTTACAGACGACACAAATTTCAATTTTCAAAACAGTTTTTCTCTTTTTATAATCTTAGGATTCACATATTTGGAGAGGAACATATGACAAAAAAAAGACAAAGAAAAAAACTCTGGGAGTTATTTCAACCTAAACATTTTTAAATTATGTTCTACCAACTTTCCACAGGAAGCTGCTGCCACTGAACTGCAGTGTTTCTCTGCTTTGCATTTGGACTTTAATGAAGACAGAAGACCTTTCTTCAACTTAACCATTTCTTGTTACTGACCGTCCAAAGATGCTCATTTCTGATTCCTCGCTTTAAACTGAAGCCATTAAACACTCCTGACAATAATCAAGGCTCAAGGCAGATGTTAATAAAGTTAGTAAGCATTTTAAACCATTTATGGATTTGTCCTTTCAGGACCTTTCCTATAACAGAACCAGTCACATATTTAAATCCTCCCCAAAATGACCAGAGTTTAAACCAAACTTCTGAAATCTGTTAAAGAGACAATTAGAAAAGGGTGTTTAACGCTGCAGGAGGAAACTAAAGCCAAGGTTTTTCTGTTTTTCGGTTCAGGAAAACAGAAAGGAAAGTAACCAGAAACAAAAGGCTTCAATGAACGCACCACCAGTCAGTGGAACCTCTGGTACTGAAAACATCTGATGTATTATTCTCCTCTCAGACAGACCAATTAGGGCTTTAGAATTCCTTCTTCAAAAACATACATCTATTCATCCCAGTGGTGAAACGCCCCTTTAGGAGCTTAGAGTCTCTTTGAGGGGAATCTACAGCGGCTTTGCAGCAAATCTCATCTTTGTGCCTGCTCTGTGGCCCTCCGGCTCTGGGTGGATAGTCCTGAAGGTCAAGTTGATGCGTGGGCCTCGGTCATGGTACTCCTTTGCCACTTGATGCTGGTGAAGAGAAAGAGACTAATGAGTAAAGGACGTTGAACGTTTGGGCCATATGCTCACCTGCAGCATTTTCTCCTGAGTTGAAGCATGAGGAGCATTGGCAGCTGACCAGCAAATCTGAGGCTAAAATCTAGATGTTTAACATTTTTATTTTTGTTTAAAAAAAATCTGCTTCATTTAAAAAAACCCTCAATCAAAGGTAGAATTAAATGGGAAAAAAATGTAATGCCTTAAATGTATTGAAAATGAATCCAGAAATGTATTCTCCTGTTAGATTTAAGCAGATTATGCAACTAACCGGGTTCAAACTATTTCTAACCTTCCTGCTAACGCGTCCTTTACCATTTCATCTAGGGCTGTATCAATTAATCAGATTAATCAATTATTGAAATAATCATCAACTAATTTAGTAATCGATTAGTCAATAATGGGATTTTTGCATTAAAATGTAAAAAAAATGTCTGTCAATATGCTCTATGCAGACCTCCTCTAGTTTTAGTTTCCCCTGGTTTAATTTAGAAAAAAAAGGTTTTCTTTAAAGAACCTTTGGCTTTCTGATTATTAATCGAAAAATAATCAACAGATTTATCGATTTGCACGATAATCGTTAGTTGCAGCGTTAATTTCAACTGTTTAATAAATATTTAAACATACATTTTTCTACGTGTGAAACCTTTATGTTCTATTGAGTTCAGTTTTTGAAGGAAAAGTCCGGTCAGCAAGGAAAAATCAATGGATCATTATTTATACCTAAAACTAATATGTTTGCTTTTTAGAGCAAACATATTAGAGTTAACTCAATTTAGAGTTAATCAGTGAAAAAAATAAAAACAATTTTTGCCCAACTATAGTAACCCCTCCCTCCTGCCATCTTCCAGCAGTGACATCATGGTGCAGGAAGGCCAAGCGCCATTCTCCCCGCTTTACAAGCAAAATCAATGGGAACTACTAGACACATCTGCAATCAACAACAATTATTGAAGATTTCCAGAGGACTTCACCATTGAAATTCACCAGAGCTATAGTGAAACTGACAATGGAATACATCGGGTAAAAGTGAATAATCAATGAGTTATTCCACCTTTCTGATTCCTGATCCTCCACGGACGGGTTGGTCGTTGGATTGCCAACTTGAAGAGGAAGGATTTGCCATCGAACTTCTGGCCAGAGAAAAAACCCGTAATATGTAGCGAACATTTGGAAGAAGAATGTTTTCAAGATGACTTGGATAATAGCGCGTTGTGACAAACACCAGATACAGCACTGGGACTTGATCAACAGCCGATACCGCACCGTCACGTCACAAAGCAGTAGGTGGCAGTAGTGTTCTTTGACAAACATGGATGCCTCCAGTAAAGCACATTCAGATGAAATTTTTAAATATTTCATATTTAAAGTACTTTCAGAATTTTTAATTCTGAATATGAGCAGACTTTTCCTTGAGGGCAGAAACCGGCTGATTGTGGTTTTGTTGGATATTTAGACTCTCGGTCTACAGCGCTCCTCCTGGGTCTGAAGCTTTGTTGAGGGGACTTTGACTGCAATAACAGAGTGGATTAACGATCTAAGTGATCTTCTTTCTCTGAACGTGTCCTAAAGCAGCAATGAAACCTTTGTTGGGTTGGTAAGTGAGATGTCGACATAAAACACCCATGACCTTATCTCATTTTCTCTTCCAGCTCAATCCTTTCACTCTGGCTCTTTAATTTCCACTAGTTAGATTTTATTTCTCTTTAGGATGTCGCCTTACTATTCATCTAATTATGTTTTATTTCAGGAAGAACATATGTTTACTTGTGTTAACTGATAACTGATATTCATCATTTTAAGGAGTCCTTGAGGGCACTTTTTATTCACCTGTTATATTTAAATAGAATTTGTTATTTTATGCCACCAGTTTTTCAGTAGATTAAAAAATGTCCTTTTTTTTTTTTTACAGAATCATTTACTCTCCCCATTTTGTTTTTTCTTGTTACATCATACTGTTTCTATTTAAGGAATTCCAGATTTGGAAACTAAGGCTGAGATTTGCAAATAACTATATGAAATGAACACATGTGCTTCTACAAATACCGCAGTTTATGTCAAAAATCTTTAGCTTTTTACAATATTAGCTAAAATAAACATCCGTTTGTTGGAAATTCAAACTAACTGCAGATACTTTATCTTGATTTAACAAAGAGAATCCAGTTCAATCTTTGTGTGTCATGTTTCTACACAAAGTGTAACAAACCAAACCTTAAATCTAGTTTCTACGCCCTGGTGTGAAGCAGTAATTCTACTCATGTGAATTGGCGCCGCTAACCGTGTCAGACTCCTTCAGGTACGCAACATGTCTCCACACCTTTTAAGCCAAGAAAGTGTCAGAGTCTAGAATAAATGAGTCTTAATAACAGTAAGGCTCATCTGCTGTATCTGCCCATCAGTCACAGAAGGAACCTCATTGTCTTTAGTGTGAATCGACCCCGTTAGCAAAGGCTGGGACACACTGGGATGCTTTCTGACTGCAAAGACCTTTTCAAAGCAATACTGCCGTGTTAGCACTTAGTATTAGCCAGTGTAGCACATCTTTGGTCATGTGGCTTATCTGAGGTCTGAATTCAGAAATAATCTCAACAAGCAGCTGAGATGAACAATCCACAATCTCCATGCAAATTAGCACAGTGCTCAGATTAGCAGAGGTGCACACACACCTCCAAATTGTGCCATTTGTCTAGACACAGAGGTAGGCAGGTGAGTTTAGTCATGATACTGAGTTTATCTTTACAGTTTGACATTAGTGGACTCAGAAACTAACTCTAAACTTCCCCCAGAATGCACTTGGCAAGAGATGTTTGCTGACCGCTGCACCAGAACCCAAACTGACACCCTCTGAGGAGCACAGCTCTCTGGAGGTCGAATAGTCGTCTAAATCAGGTATAAATGAAAAGGTACAGAGCTGGTTTCCCTGCTAGCTTCAACAATTACAGATGAAATCATCTGAGGAATACGACCTACAAGATAAAAGATTATTTCCATACGAGTTATGACCAACTTTTCCTTAACAAAACTACCTGAAACAACTAATGTTAGCGTTCAGGAACCTGTGATGTAAGGAAAGAGTTACGTGACGTTTTTGGTAGAGAACAAAAAGCTAATAAGGGTCACTGAATATTTGCACTAAAAGTATTAATAATTATATAATAATTAGGGAAAATGGATCTATTGTTTCAAATTGCACAATATTTCATTAGACTATTTTTATATTGGTGTAAAATATGGCTGAATATATCTTAAATTTGTTTGCAGGTAGCTGCTAACAGGCTTTCCTCTAACCCCTACAAAATTTATATTATAGGAAGTTAGTTAAATTGATGAACCATGCCTGCCAGTCATCCTGCGTCGCTCCCTCCATCAGCAGAAGAGTCCCGTGGCTCAGAGGAACCCGAATCCGCTCCACATAGGTGTAGTCCCCATTTTCCTCCTTTCATAATAGCAGATCAGGACAAAACATTCTTTCAAACTCTAAGAAGTAAGGAAATATTCTTATTTAGAATCTGAGTGCCAAAAGACCACATCTTCTTTGGTTGGAATCTTGTCACCACAAATAAATGAAAATGAGTGTTTAAAAAAAGAAAGGGGCAGATTTAACTTATGGGAAACTATAAAGCTGATTTCCTTCCAACAGAAAGGTCCTAAAATAATGCCGACATGCCGTGATTGATGCACAAAAGCAGAGAGGTTAGCATCCCATCTCACCGCTGGGGGCTGCTTGCGAAGGCTAAAAACTCTGGTGTCACCCAGACTGAGAGACGCAATGGTAGGTTTGGGACCCAGGGAGGCCTCGTCGTCGCTGTGCCAGCCGATGCCGTCGTGTCCGTCTCGGTACAAGTTGCACAGCAGGGAGTTAAAGGTGCATCCGCTGGCCTGCTGCACTGCCTCCCTGAGGGAAACCAGCAACGGGTGCCACTGTGTGGAAAAGATGTAAGGTCGTAAAACAGATGAAATAAAGAGCCTCAGAAGGATGAAAACGATAAATTAAACTGCAAAAAATTGGAAAAATATATACCATAAAACAAAAACATGGTGAAATCAGATTTGAGGATATATATTTATAAAGATGTATTGCACATGGTGTTTACATGGGTATTATATATATATATATATATATATATATATATATACATACACACACTCATTGGCCACTTTATTAGGTACACCTGTTCAACTGCTCATTAACACTTAATCTCTAAGCAGCCAATCACATGGCGGCAACTCAGTGCATTTAGGCATGTAGACATGGTCAAGACAATCTCCTGCAGTTCAAACCGAGCATCAGTATGGGGAAGAAAGGTGATTTGAGTGACTTTGAACATGGCATGATTGTTGGTGCCAGAAGGGCTGGTCTGAGTATTTCAGAAACTGCTGATCTACTGGGATTTTCACGCACAACCATCTCTAGGGTTTACAGAGAATGGTCCGAAAAAGAAAAAACATCCAGTGAGCGGCAGTTCTGTGGGCGGAAATGCCTTGTTGATGCCAGAGGTCAGAGGAGAATGGCCAGACTGGTTCGAGCTGATAGAAGGGCAACAGTGACTCAAATAACCACCCGTTACAACCAAGGTGGGCAGAAGAGCATCTCTCAGTACATCGAACTTTGAGGCAGATGGGCTACAGCAGCAGAAGACCACACCGGGTGCCACTCCTTTCAGCTAAGAACAGGAAACTGAGGCTACAATTTGCACAAGCTCATCGAAATTGGACAATAGAAGATTGGAAAAACGTTGCCTGGTCTGATGAGTCTCGATTTCTGCTGCGACATTCGGATGGTAGGGTCAGAATTTGGCGTCTACAACATGAAAGCATGGATCCATCCTGCCTTGTATCAACGGTTCAGGCTGGTGGTGGTGGTGGTGTCATGGTGTGGGGAATATTTTCTTGGTACTCTTTGGGCCCCTTGGTACCAATTGAGCATCATTGCAACGCCACAGCCTACCTGAGTATTGTTGCTGACCGCGTCCATCCCTTTATGACCACAATGTAGCCAACCTCTGATGGCTACTTTCAGCAGGATAATGCGCCATGTCATAAAGCTGGAATCATCTCAGACTGGTTTCTTGAACATGACAATGAGTTCACTGTACTCAAATTGCCTCCACAGTCACCAGATCTCAATCCAATAGAGCATCTTTGGGATGTGGTGGAACGGGAGATTCGCATCATGTCAATATGGACCAAACTCCCTGAGGAATGCTTCCAGCACCTTGTTGAATCTATGCCACCAAGAATTGAGGCAGTTCTGAAGGCAAAAGGGGGTCCAACCCGTTACTAGCATGGCTAATATATATATGCAATATATATATATATATATATATATATATATATATATATATATATATATATATATATATATATATATATATATATATATATATATCTAGTTATTGTACTGGGTATCAAATAGCAATTGCACATTATACATTGCACAAGTTATTGCCATTGTAGTGTTGCATTATAGAGTCTGGTTGCAGCAGGGATGAACGACCTGCAGTAGCGCTCCTTTTTACAAACAGGATGCAAAAGTCTTTGACTAAAGGAGCTGCTCAGCTCCTCTACAGTCTGGTTTAGAAGGTGCTGTCCATGATGGAGGGACTCTATCCTGTAATTTATCCAGAAGTTCTGCAATTGCACTTTTTCTCTAATTCCCAACTTTGTGGTCGGCAGCGTATTTAGCATGCCTTCCCTGGAAATGTCTTTCCAAATGACTCTTTTTATTAGCTGACAACTTCTCATTAAAAGCAAACATGCAGGCAATCCATCCTCATCGGTAATGAAAGCAAATGATTCGCTCCATTCTTCTTTTAATCCTCTGTTCTCATAACACATCTTCCTTTTTATCCCCATAGCCAGAGACACAGCCGCTGCTTTGTTTCCAACAGCCACCTGCCTGGCACCTCGCCGCGCTGAAACCTGCTGCAGGGTATGACGCAAATGTTCACTGACAGAAATGTTTACATTTATCGTTTAGATTTATTCATTATACAAATCTTTACAGCATTGGAAAACATGTTAGTTTGAGCTCCTTCAAACCATATTAAAACAAACAAAAAAACATCTTTCTCCATTTTCTAGACACTAAGCCTTCATCAATCAGATCCAGTTAAGCCAGGCGTACACTGTGTGATTCTTTTCAGGGCGACTTTCCAGTCAGGCTGACTTTCAGCCTGATGGTGCGCCGTGCGTGGTGTAGTGTACAGGGGGTATTGAGGGACGATCAGCCTCTAACGACCACCTCCCAATCAGGAATCGTAAGGTCAGGAAAAAAATCAAACATGTTTGATTTTCAGTCGGCCATCGTAAGGTGGTCGTGGGCAGATCACTCAGTTCGCAAACAAGGATTCTTCTTCTTCCTCTAGGATGAAAACCCAGAAGCATGGCAGGGATGCAATGAGTGAAATGGAGTTCTTTCTGACCGTAGTAGTCCTGTTTGCTCAGCCATGTCTTTGTCCAAATACGTCGTGGCCTTTTCTTTTTAGGGCTTTCAGCACAAAATTGCGCTAATTTCCAAGGCAGCGCGTTTCACTCTAGTGAGCTTCATATTCCTCTTCTACTCGTTTGGCTTCCGGATAGACGAGTCAGAGTAGCGCCATCTCACTGCGGAGCTGAGTCCCACCTGGTTTTTAGATGTACAGTGTGAGCAGGTAGATCGCATCACAGTGTCGGGCCGCACATGCATCATGAGCTGTGAACTCAAATTGTACGACGAATCCCTGTGGTTTCGTCGCACAATGTGATCCGTAGCTTCATGCAACAATTGAAAAAAATCACAGTCTTTCCCCTGCTTAAAATAAAGATGGAGGTACCTGTGGGTTGGCGGCCATGGTGGAACGGGCGTAGGTATACGGCAGCTCTCCGTACCAGCAGGTCAGCCTTGGCTCTTCATATGCCTCACCTGGACAACAAAACAGCAATATTAGCAACTGCTAAAAAAAAAAGAAAAGCAAGCATTTACAAAAATTGTAAATTACAAAATAAGTCCAAGTCTTATTGGAGCTAAAACATCAATAAAAAAAGACAATAAACCCCAAAACTGTATCAGTGACATATTTACAGGTTGGATTCATTTTGACAGTTTTACTCCAAAATAAAAGCCAATATCAGGAAATAAACGAATAACATTTTAAGCAGAAAAGAACATGAAGAAACTGGTTCTAATTTTTTTTTAACGGGGAAATATTTCGCCACCAAACAGTTGCTCCAGCCAAACGTGGGGAGAACATCTGTTTCCAACTGGACTCTTATTCTGTTGTCATCTTTGGGTCTGTGTGCCTCCCTCCCAAGTAGCTATTCTGTTTTTTCTGCTTTTTTTGGCCAATCCTCGGGTACAGAAACACAGTCGACCAAAACAAACTCTCTGACAAGCCATCACTTCCACTGGGACTGAACTATTCCTGGAACCTCGAAGCAAACATTTCTAACTGTGGAACCATTTAACAAGCTTCTTTTCTTCCATAAAAAGATGTTAGCAGAAGGAAAAAAGGTCCCATTCTCTAAATTCAGACTCCTGAGACCAAATGGATTATAAAAAGGAAATAACTGCATTAAAACAATCTGGAAAACAAAGCATGGGCAGCCCTCAGCTGTTCCTTCTGTCAAACACTAAGTACTTTGTTGACAAACTCCAGTGAGTGAAAGAGGATTACAAAGTGTCTGCTGCAGCGCTGTCGCAGATTAGCACATCAGATGGATGAGAGCCAGCTGGAAGAGAAGGCAGGCGGTAGGAAAAGGGACAGTTCTGGATTTATGGTTTGACCTCCTAGATGTGAATACCGTGGAAACTATTTCACATTTCTCCAAGTTGCAGCTTCAAACTTCCGTTTATCTGTGATGTGTATTTTTGTTCAGCCCCCATTTATTGTGATACCTCTTAATAAAACCTTTAGAAGTCCCTAAAGGAACAAAGTGGCTTGATTTGTCTGCAGTTCTTTCTTAGCAGAACCTCAGAAGTTCTGAGAAATTTGTTAGAACGAACAGAATGATGGTAACTAAGGTTCAGGTCACTGTTGTGGGGAAAAAGATCATTTCATGCAGCTTCTGGAAATGAGGAACGGATTAAAGAATCAGCAGATACATCCATGTGTCGGATCATGATGGTAGCCATTAAAAAAGGTTAACCTTTTGATTAGAAAAAGGTCAATTAATTTATAAAGAAAATCAGGGTGCAATTTAGGGAAACCTTGAAAAAGTGGTGGATTTTTTTAATTAACCACTGAGATGTCTGAGTGTTTGGGGAAACCCTTTGTGAATATGTTCTCTTAATTTAGCTGTTAGGAAATCAAAACTTAGGAAAAGGTTTAATTGAAAATATGAACAAGAAATTTCATTTTTCTGCATCAAGCCCCTGTCACCTCGACGATTTAGACCAGCGTATTCCTGGGGATGCAGCCTGGAGGAGAAGTTACTCAGAGGTTTGGGATAAGCTAGACCAGGCATCCCCAACCTCTGTCCTGGAGGCCCGCTGTCCTGCAGGTTTTAGAGGTTTCCCTGCTTTAGCACAGCTGATTATAATGATTGCAGTTGACCAAAAGCCTGTTAATCAGCTTTCAATTAAAATCAGCTGTGCTGGAGCAGAGAAACATCTAAAACCTGCAGGACAGCGGGCCTTGAGGATCGAGGTTGGGGATGCCTGAGCTAGACGCCACAGCATATGAATAACTTAAGCTTAACGCATGTCAACGACTAGATAATTTACCTGGAACTTATGGCCCACGTATGGCACACACTGGCATAGGTCAGGCCGTAATCGCCATATGCCAGCGTGTTTCATGTTTCAGCGTACTTTAGGATGCTCATATTTTGTACAAAACATACCCAAAACTTATCCAACGTTTGCCAGCGCTTTTGCCAGATTTTCCGTACGAAAAATTCTGGCATGTCATACATGGGGCATAAGTTCCAGGTCAGCTATCTGATGGTTGACAGACACTCAGTGTCAGTTCCTCATCAGTCGTGGCGTCTAGCTTATCCTAAACCTCTGAGTAACTTGTGCATAACTTCTGCGTAACTTATCCAGAACTTCTCTCCAACGCATATCAAGGTATCTGACATGTTCCAGATTAGCGCTGAACTTGTTTCTAACTTCCAGCTACTGTATAATGGCGTATTGGCAGCATTTTGGTATAAAGGGGGTTCACAGGAGGAAACCGTCAGTTCTCATCCAGACTTCATCCGCATCATAGGGTGAGCCAGAAGGTGAGTGTGATGGATCCTCCCTGCGTTCACACCCATGGCCAACGAACTGAATCTGCTGCGACTGCAAACCTTCTTTCTTTCTTTTTCTTTACTTTTTTTTGGGTGGGCAGTAAAAAGCAGTTAGGTTAATACTGTGATCCACGATCAAAGAAATCTTTTTATGCAGACCAGGTACCTCAGGCGCATCGCTGCTCCTGTAGGGAGCTACCAAGACACACTAAGGAAACTCTGGAAGAGCTACAGATGTTCAAGAAGAAAAGCAAGAAAAAGAGTTTGGGTGAAAAGCCAGAAGAATCCCATGATGCAGTTTGCAAGGATCTGTGAAGGAGACACGACCAGCATGAGGCCAATGATTAAATATCAGACTTAGAAGTTGTTTTGTTCCAGAAACTGACACTGAACTCCAGCCTGAGCAAGCTGTCTCTACTGTGAGATACGGCGGTGGCAGCATCATGATATGGGGGAGGGGGAAGCTGACTCAGCTGGATGAGAAGTTTCATCCTGCAGCTGTAAATGTTTTGAAGATGGTTTTAGGAAGTTATAAACCAGAGTACGGAAGCATGCCGATCTGTTTTCCAGACATTGAATCATAAAAATATTTCAAACATGCTTCCAACTCCATTTCTGTTTGTCTTTTCACATGAGTTTCCATTAAAATACACAAAGGTTTGTAGAGACGTATGAATACTTTTTAAAAGCATATTACTTCATCAGATCCATGAACCATGAAATAACCAAAGCGGAGTGAAACTAATACATGTATTGGCTGCCCAGCAGCTTATCAGATATGATCAGATATTATCGGTTATTGTCGGTACCCACCCAGCCTGTAGTTAGTCTTCTGGGACCAGGGCAGCTCAGCCAGCAGCTTACTGAACATCCAGTCAGCTTCTTCTGCTGTGAGAAAGCCAGGCCTCAGCCGCAGCCTGGATGGGTCCGAAAAACACAAGACTAAATAAACAGCTAAGAAAATGAATTGATGTTTGTTTTTATAACAGTAATAAACCAAACATTTCAAAACAGATAAAGTCACTGCTTAGTGTTCAAACAGGGAAGGTAAACAGTGAACTAACTGTTGTGTAAACTAGTCTACAACTTGGGAGAAAAAGCTGAAAGAAGCCTCCTGATGATTTAGGAGTTTATGGAATCAACTAAATCTCATCCAGGCGTCGTATCTTCCTCTGTTTTGCTTATAAACCTGAGTAGTTTGAACTGGAACGTTCAGAGATGCTGGGGGGTTAATCAACGGGTACAGCAGTTACATGCCGAGCAGATTTCTTCAGCAGATTTAGGATTTGGTTGGTGGATTTTTTCATTCCCAACAGGGGATATAAGGCTGCACATCTTTAATCAACAGGTTCAGATTTTCCTTCTCCTTCCATTCATTTTAAACTGCTCTTATTAATGGATCCAAACAACACAGTCTAAAACTCACTGACTTCAGAATATAGATTGCATGAACTAGTTATTCTTGGTTTTACTTTGACTTCCAAAAAAAGAAAATAAAAAAAAATCCACTGGACTTTGTTTCCCATCCAGGAAGCTTTTTCAATTCGAAATGAATTGAAAAATTTTAAAAAAATCTCAAGAACTCTAAAAGTTTGAGTTTCACCGGATTTAATTTCAATTTCAAATTGTCTTCTTCAAAGAATCCTTGGTAATTTGATTATTAATCGATTTAATCAAAAAAATAATCAGCAGATTTGTCGATCTGCAAGATATTCATTATTTCCAGCCTCTATTAACCTGTGAACTGCCCCTGATTGTCTGGATTCTCTTCCTAGAATTGCTCCCATATTTGCAGAAATATGAAATGGGATTTTGAGCTACAAACAAGACGAATACTGCCATCTAGTGGGAAGAAATATCATTACTGTCTTTTAACTTCAATTTAATTTGTGTTTCCATCAAACATCCACCTGAGACAAATCTCCTGCCACCACCCTGTACTCACCGAGACACACCAGACGGCCCAGAACTTATTTCATAATCACCCAAATGTCTGTTGAAAAATAAAATAGTCATATTTACTTACATTTGGTGAAAAGAATGGGAATTTTACAAAGGTTTCATGTAAGAAAAGCATCAAATAGATACTTTTAAACCAAAGTTTTGATGACCAGCCATAGATGAACTTACTCTATCACCCTCTCTGGTGGGATTTCTCTTACTGGCTGCAGGGAATGACGCCGCAAAGGTTTAATAACATCCTTAAATGTATTTGAAAAGCAGCACATTTTACATTCTCTGGTTTACCTTGGTTGGCTGGTGAAATTCAAATGCTTTAGATGGTTTTTGGTTTCCAAATCTCCACGTTCCAGAGGCTGTGTTGGCATTTGTGGGCTGATTGTTTAGGATGCCCACTATTGAGGAGGAGATGAAAAAAATTAAGGAAAAAAAAAACAGAAACCACAAATCCATCTCTGCTAACTAGATGTTTTCTGAAAGCAGTAAAACATGCATTTTTAACTAGAAAAAGCTGAATCATTTGATAGGCTGCAGGCAATGATTCTCCTTGAATCTACCTGTTTGACTGGAGGGTTTGGGCAGCTGTCTGGCCCAGGAACCCTGGACTCTTGCACGCTGACGCTTATCTGACATCACATCCGCTCTGCACCAGGACAACAACAACAACCAAAAGAGCAGATTTCTCAAAAAGTAAATTATTTGTCAAACTAAAGCAATACATCATTCCTGCAGGACATAAGAAGTGTTTGCAAGGTCAGTGTCTCTTCCTACTGTTGAAAAACAACTGTTAACCAGGAATCATTAGTTTACGGTTGTGTTCCAACTCTTTTATTTGTTTTACTACCCGTTTTATCATGCGTTTATCTTTACTTGCTTCTATTTTATTATATAATTCAAGTAAAGCACTTTCAGTTGTCTTTGTACTGAATTATGCTTTATAGAGAGACTTGCATTGGCTCTATTAACAAACTAATCAGTTTATAAATCTGTTCCTATTCTTATTTGAATGCTTCCATCCTATTGATTCCCGTAAAATGAGCAAATATTTAGATTTATTTATATTCTGCTCATCCTAAGTAACTAAGTGACTTCTGTTCTCGTTTTTATTTATTCATTTTTTATTTATTTATTTATTTTTACTGTTTTAAAAAAGAAAAACAGAGCATGATGCATCTATAAATTCCAAACTGGATCTGGAGATACATTTAAAAGAATGTTTATGAATAATTTAAATAAGTAGATTGACGTCACGTAAAGCTAAAAAAAAAAAAAACGTATGAAAATTCATAAAATAATTATCTTTAAAATATGGAATAAAAAAAATCAATGGTTCAGTTAAGGCTTTCAGTCAAATGGCGCTAGAAGAAATGTAACCTGACATATCTAGAAACCCGCAGTAGATCTATGCGAAAATACGTCAATATTTTAACGTTACAAATCAACAAATGTGACAAATATACCACCCACTAATGAGAACAAAACAAAAGCTTTCAAATAATCACCTAAATGGTAGCTAAGAAGCCACAGGAGAGTCAGGAAAGGCTTGCGAAACAGCCATTGCTTCTGTGTTACCGAAAACTAGGTCCCCTACAAACTATGGAGATAAATAATGGTTCCTAAGCACCGCTATGATTTTTATTTATATAAAAAAAATACTTTTAAATAAAAAATGAAAATGAACTATCGAGCTGAATTAAAGTAACTATGCAATGTTCCCACAATACATTAGGCTAAGATTGTAAATTTTAATCTATTGTCCTCTGGTCCAGTTCTTATCAACAGTTTTAAACTTACTTTACATTTTTATAAAATAAATCAAATACAGCAAAAGTTTGAAAAATGCTCTGCTTTATTAAAAAAAAAGTAAATTTTTCATTTCTTAAACAAAGCTCTAGGAAAACATGTTTTAGTTTCAATGCAAAGTCATGTGTCCAATTTTATGTTTATTTGTGCCTTTATTGTTTCATGTTTGAATTTGATTCTTTTAGTGAAGCTACTCTTTTCTTTTAAGGCAGAGGAATAGTTTGTGTGAATTTTGCCCTACAGTTTAATGTCACCAAACGTGATTTTTATTAAGTACAAAACACTGTAGTATATCCAACACTGCACTTGCCTGAATCAAGTCACAGCCTCCCAGGTCAGTTTCCTGTCTGTTCGAAAGTTTTAGGGGGGAAAAAAAAAATCCCGCTTGTGTGAAGTCCCACAGTTCCCTTAACAACAAACTGCCATCTTCATTGTTCAGTTACATAGAATATTATCTGTATTGTAATCTCTCTGTAAACTACAGATTTATTTGAAGGAACCAATCTAGATGCCTGAATCTCATTTCAGCTTAATCTGGTTCATTAAACATGGAGGACACTAAATAAAGACCAAATGCTTTAGTGTTTGGTGCTTCAGTCTAAACAGTGCCCACTTGGGTATCCTATGCACTTTACTTTGGTTTAAATTGTATAAGCATAAATGCCATATTTGACGTGGTAAAATTTTTAGATGCTCAGGTGACATCAATAATACACAATATATTTTTTTCTAAGTGCTTTATAATTTTAAAAGCAACTTTAATTAAAAAAGAAAAAACTCCAACCTGAAGAAGAGATATATCTTCGAAACACCGAATCAGCCAATATGAATTGTAGGAAGGGGTAATACCACCTTTAGAAATTATGTTGACCAATATTGTAGCATGGTTATCAATGCTCATCAGCGCTTGTAGAATGCATTATTTTTACTTTGAAAATCAAAATAAATTATAACACTATTCTCTTGATACATAACTTTTTGATTTACCTCATATCTTATGGCAAAGAACAGGATTAGTCCCCAGCATCATAGGAGACATACAATTTGCCCTCTGAGGAGAAACTTTTGTTAAATATTAAACAGAAAATTATTTTCTATTTAAATATGCTCACCCTCAAAGAAAAGCAGAGCTTCCTCTGCCAAAACAATTATAAAGGTCTTCAAGAGGAGAATGAATGTAAACAGTCCATTTCACATGTATAACATTTTATTTTCAAGCATTTAAAAAGACTATGAATTAACAAAAAACATTCACACACAAAAAAAAAAAAACCATTAAGGTCCAGTCAGACCACATCATATGGGGTATTGTAACAGGTGTCAAGTATAAAAAAGGTCTTGAATCGTTTCGTTTTGAAACGGCGTCTTTGGCGGCATCTGAACTAATCTAACAGTCGTAAAAAACGAGGTTGAAAAAGTAATGATGCGACAACCCAAGATTGTTGAGAATAAAACTAAAACCAATGAAATCCTGGCTTCACATTTAACAGCACGGTCTGTCAACATCAGAGTCATTCAAATACATTGGGAGGAAAATGACCAAGAACGACGTAATTAGGAGGGAAAACTGCTTCGCATCGTTCACTTTGACAGTTAAGATCCTGCCTCAATAAATCAAACCACCCCGTCACTGAATCCAACCGTCTCTGGAAATATTACAGGGAAAGGAAAAAGATTTGATAGACTTGACCTCAGAACAAGAGACATTGATGTAACTACAACCCACTAAAGTGTCACATTTTAAATAAATTGTAAAACAAAAAGACCCACGAGAAAAACAAAAACAAAAAAAAAAACAATTAGCACATGGAGGCAAATAAACTGGTCTGATAAAAACAGAAACTGCCATTTTCAAATATCTCACATAAGTAAAGAGAACTAGGGTCTAAGCAAGTGTTGCAGATTCTGTGTTTGCATATATACGTCTTACAAATATACAATAAATAATTTGATATAAAAAAGATGCCCATCACCGTTTTCACTGTCTACTACAGCAGGGTTTGGTCATTGTTTTTGCATCATTATTCCCACCAATAGTGTCAGTGAAAAAAACACAACAAAAAAAAAAAAAACAAAGATTGGCACCATTCATCAAAACCAGCACTTTTATCACAAGTTCCTGAATTCTTTGGCTACATCTACCCAGACAGACATCAGGGGTAGACTGTGCAGCTTTATGTCTGTTGTGAAGGTTTACTCATCAGGCACAATAGGTTCAATTTTAAGGCAGCTTCCATGGGTCGAATCGCACCAACATACTTCCTCAAGCACATCATGGTCGCCAGCTGCATCGTTGTCCATCTTATTCAGTTTTCAAACTGGCTCCGTTTTTTTGCTCCCGCAGCTTCCTCCTCCTCAGGTAACCTGTGCGCTGAAGGCGGTTCATTCTGGCGCCCAGGAAGATGACGATGCTGCTTGGTACCAGCCTGGTGGTCACCCAACCCTGCAATCAAAAGGCGGACATCAACACCGGCACTTAACGGCAAACTGCAACCTTTCATGAAAATGGCATGATGGAGTTTCATTTAAAGATGTTTCAGGGCGTCGATTGAGAAACTAAAATAGTTGATCAAGATTTTTGGCAAATTGGAAAAGCTGCACAAAATCTATGTTTAAAAGCTCCAAAAAAAGGGTAAGAATGGAAGCTTCTGGAATTCAGTTTTCATTGCCCATCACAGTAGTGTTGGCACACCTCTCTATCCAAAATATCCTACCCAAGTACTAGGAGTGTAATTGTTTAATATATCCAGGAGTGGATTTAGGAAATTTGGGGCCCTGGGCAAAGACAGGCAGGGGGCCCTCTGAATTGAGAACACATAAAAACAACCCATTCTATAGATAGAGAAATGTTAATAGAATAGACATCCATTATCTGTTCTCTCTTCTTGTCCCTTTTCTTCTTGTTTTCCTCTCTATGTTTTGTACTCAGCTGACTTTTCATGCTGTCTCTAAAGGAATGAAAGATTTTTTTTCCAAGCACTAAGCTCACTTAGCTGATTGCTCCTTCCTGTGTTTCCAAAAAGGCCAAAGTAAATAACCCAGTCCTTCTTTTCACTGTAGACAAGCCATGATCTGCTTCTCTGTTCTCCATTTTTCATTTGGATGAAATAATAGCTGCATGAATCATGACAGCAGAAAAGATAGAGGAGAGCAGGAGGCGGGGTTACCAATCTACTTGCGCTGGAGAGCAGAGTTCCCTGCTTTTAGATGTTGTCTCCAAAGTCTCCAGTAGCATAAAAAAAGTCGCTATGCGCTTTTTTGAATTCAGAGTGCTAGAGGGGTCTGAAATGTTGCCAAATATAGCGATTAAAGCGCTAAGTTGGCAACACTGCTCTTCGCATCATTCATTTTCAAATGGTTTGCTGCTGTCTGTTTGGGGGCTGAGACACAAGTGTTTTTTTTAGCCAAAGGATTTTTTATCAAAAACATAATGTGCACAAATAAGGAATAGTTGGATTAACTATGCATGTAAACAGTTTTATGGGGCCCCCAGGAACTTGGGGCAAATGGCAATACTAGCCAGTTAGGGGCTGATGGATAACTGCCATCTCTGACACAAAGTCTCTAAGTACGAGCAGCTTTTAATCAAATGCTTTGCTCTGATTCTAGAAAAAAACAACAAAAAAAGACAAGTTTTTAGATCAAATTTTCCATCTCAGGGAAAAAGCATTTTCTAAACCAACCACAAGTCCAAAAATTATGACATTAATGCCAACAACAAGCAGAAGGAACCTGTGCACCAACAATGTTAGAAACCTCTATAAACCAAATATCTAAGGTAACTAATAATGTTGAAATTTTCACTTTAACTGTATTCAGCTCAACAATCTGTGCTTTACGGTTTCCTTTTCCTTACCATGACAGCGTGAGGGAAATATCCGTTGGTCTGGCTCTGCAGACCCACAGTGTTGAGCTCAGCTGCTACGTAGCGCTCTGGGGTGGGCTTATCCAGGGTGGGCTTCCTGATGCGGGTCATTTTGGTTGCCACAAAGAAGGGGAGCACACTCTAAAAAAATGAAAAATGATTTAATCACTTTGAGCTTGAAATATCTTATTTCACTAAAGGGCTTAGGAACACGTTAGCCACAAGGTGGCAGGAGTTTACCACAGTAAAGAAAGATAACCAATGTAATAATTTTAAATTTCCACACTCAAAGTAAAATTCTTTCATACTACCATTATGCGTCTCTACCAGTTTTAATCCTGATTTAACATAACAACCAAAATCTCTGAGCATGTTGCAAGGTTTAAGAAAAAAATAAAATGCAGCAAACTGAAGTATAGATCTAGTTTTAGCAGTTGTGGTTCATACCAACCTGAATGATGATGCCCTGCCGTCTGTACTCCTCATGTAGGCCACGGGAGAAAAAGTCCACAAAGGCCTGTAAGCAGAAATTATTTTCATCACCATCAGAAAAACTAACAGGGGGCTTTAATGTTTTTTTTTTAAGCCTACAGAGGCCAGATTCACTTGCATCCATGGAAGCTAAAAGTCCTGTGGGGGATCAATGAACCTAAACCTGTTCCATTGTTACCATCCAGCACAACCCTGTAGAGCCATCATTAAGGATTGCTGCACGTTAATCTGAGGTTTATTGTAAATGCAAAAATAATCCAATGGGTCGTGCATTTTCCCCTACCATCTAAATCAATGCTGAATTTTGCGTTTCTTTCAGTTATACATCCTGCTACTGCAGCACAAGAGGATTTTAGAGACTTTCACACATCTTTGCGGGAGGATATGCATGAAAGAATGAAGCACATACCTTAGTTGCAGAGTAGACTGTAAGCAGAGGGACGGGATACATGCCACTGGCGGAGGAGATGTTGAGGATGACTCCTTTGGATCTGCAAGAAAGGATGAAAAGTATATATTAAGCAAAGGAAGATCAGGATGTAAAATACTGAGGAACAAATAAACTTTCAGACCATGTGTTCAAAATTCTTCCATATTACATCTTAAACCTGTTTCAGCGTGATTTTTAAATGCAAATGATGAAATTCACTGATGTAAAAACTATTTATTCCCAAATTGATTTAAATATGTCAGGCTGTAGGACAAATCTGTTAACTCCAGAGTCTGCCCAAAAAGAATTATGACAATAAGAAAATTAAGATCACACCTTCAAATGAATTCATCTTAATGGTGTTTTACTGCATTTACACTAGAGCTGAACGATTTCACCAAAAATGAAAAATTGCCATAAATTTAAACCGATATTTTGATTTTTTCCCCCTTGCTTTAACCAAACTCATGTAAATGTTTCTATACAGAGTTTCAGTTTTTTCATGATATGGAAGGTTTGCTTGTCCAGCTTCCTTTGTTGCAGGACTTTACTGCAACCTTTGTTCAAATAGTGTTGAGCTCTACTTCCATGCAGGAATTTGCACCCCAGCTTCGTCTCTCTCTTCCCGTCTGTGTGGTTGCATATCTACTTTAAGCATTTTACTGCCAGCTAAAGTGATGGGATACATTTAGCCATCTACTCTTTTTAAATATGTTAACCAAATAGAGCGCCTCTGGGATTTGAAAATTGCATTTTGTTAAATAGCATTTATGTTGCAAATGCAATGAATTGTCCAGCCCTAATTTACACCCTCTTCAAATGAGTCAAAGGACGTTGTCCAGCATGCAGTTCAGGACCTTATTTAGTAGTACCGCAGCAAATACTGACATTAGGTTTTAAAAGAAAGGTCTTTTGGGGTGTGTGTATACATTTCCATCCATCTATCAATCTCCATGCAGCACCTGAAGAGACCAAATTAAACTGTACAACAAATTCTATTTAGGGTTTAAAATCAATTTAGCCTGACACATCCCCTTTAAGACTTTTACACAATACTCCAGATATTTCCAGAGTGTAGGAACCACGCAGAGTACGAATGTAAAATATTTCCAAATGTTCTTTTCTCCCTCAAAAGCAAACTTCTTTTTTAATTCTGACACTTAGCTCCCCAACAATAGCCAAAAAGTTCATCCTGCAAAGGCTGTTTGATAGTGTGGCTGTGTGTGTTGCCATGGCAGCCTGTTGCTGCAGTGATGTAGTGAAGATGCTACAGCCTCACACGGGATCGAATGTGCCTTAGCTGCCATTGGTCGGTGGATATCACATGGGAATGGAGCAGCCAATCGAATCGGAAGAGCACTTTGTGTGAATTGAAAGCTTGTCAGCACAACGAACAAAGGAGAAGGAAAGAGATGCGGTGATGGAAAAAGGCTCATTTCTAATCCCACCTGACAAAACGCTGCTGGTTTATAAAAAGCATTCCTCTCACAAGAAAAATAAAAAAAATATGAGTTTATTTTTAGAGGCATTTGGGGAGGTTTGGGCTCCTCAGTCATTCGACACTAATGTTTGACTGCAGTCATGTCGCAAAACATGGAAACCTCAACTCACCTCTCAACCATTTTGGGCAGGACTAGACGGGTCATCTAGAAAACAAAGACATTGCTCAGTCATTTATAACCACACACACACACAAAAACAATGGCAGACAGTGCCAGGGAATCACAAAAACAACCAGAACTAAAAGTAGCGAGGTGAGATAGATGGGTAGGGGAAAAAAGTGGCGTGGGTGGCGAGCGCAGACAGCGTTGGTGTAGTCCACCGTTGCTTTGGGAACAACAGAGACTGCAGGTACCATGATGGGAAGAGCAGGGAGGAAAAAAAAAAAAAAAGTAGGACAAAGTACAGAAGGTAAAAGGCAACCACAGGAATTAGATGCAGACTTCATGACATTTATGTACAAGTTGAAGAATTCGAAGGGAATGGAGCAAAATCGTACCTGGCAGACTGAGGTCATGTTGACGTTTATCGTATTAGTGATGAACTGAAGCACAAAAAGGTACGATAAAGTTAATATAAAAAATAAAAATAACTCTGCAGATTGAATTTAACCTTGAAACTAATGTTCAGGAAATGTCTCTTTGCAAAGATTTACTCACATTTTCCAGATCAGGAATATGAAGGTAGTACTCAGGGTAGGGGTACGACACGCCAACATTGTTAACTGTTGAAGAAGAAAACAAAGGTAATAAATGAAATCTTAAATCTACAGTTTTAAAAGAATCTGACAACCACCACAAGGTGGCAGCAAAAGCCAACAAGCTAGAGAATGGATTTACCAAAGAGAAGACACAGCCACACCTTGCAACCAGTAGAGCACAACTGGTATCACACAAAGAACAAAGAGTTCTGTAAACGTTCAGCTTCTAAGTACGGCATGAACTCTAGAATCAGAACATCTACAGAAACACCAGTCCTGTGTTCGCTACATGATAAAACAGCAGGAAAAACAATACAAAACATTAGCCAATTCTCTAAAAAAGTCTGCTTTTATTAGTTTTTTTCTATTTTTGAATCAAACATCCAAATAAGTGGGATTAGCAGAACACAAGCCTAAAGAAAATAAAGGTTGTTCCATATTAACTTCAGACCTCCCACAGTTTCAGGTGAATAAAGCAATGCAGGTTTCTTAGAAAAACCAGGGTTTGGCCTCACAGGAAACATTTTATTTCAGGTTTTCCAAAACTTTGCAGAGACGAAAAGTTTTAAAACTTTTCATCTTTATCTACAGGCCAGAGTTCCTACAGGTCTTATTCTATAATGTTATACTTTTATAGACATATGTTTTCTAGATTTTCAATGATTTTCCCATCATGTAAGTTTGGAGGTCTGACCATTCGTAAGAAAAATAGAATAAGATGAGTTTTAATCATGACTGCCTATTCCTTCTATTCAAGAGGAATTACACGCACACACACACACACACACACACACACACACACACACACACACACACACACACACACACACACACACACACACACACACACACACACACACACACACACACACGAGGAATTAGCTTAACATTGAAAAGAAGAATGAGAATTTCTAAATAATTTCACGTTATTGGCAAAGACACAGACAACATTGTCAATTTAAATAGACCCAAAACAGGAGGAGATCTTTGCTTTGTTGCATTTAAACAAATTTTAATTAGACTTTTCTGGATCAGAACAGGTTGGATAAACATCTTCCCAATCAAAATCAGTTGTATTTAGAGTAGGAAAGTAGTCTACAATCCAATGTTTAAAAATCAACATGTGATGTAAGACTTGCTTGTAAAATCCATTTTAAAAGAGGAAGACTCAAAGTACAAGTGTTGTTCTTTTAAAACACTGTCGTGAAAATGATTACATAAAAATCCCATCATTTTAGTTCGTCTATCTTCACAATTTATATTCCAACAACACGTGCATCAACAGTTTTATGGGTATTCCTCGATACGGGAAAACATAAAGAAAGGTAATCAGTTCCTACCCAGAACACCAATCTCCAGTTCAGCCAGTCCTTCCTCAATTTTGGAATAAATATCCAGTTTGCCAAAGTCCACAGCGATTGTCCTGGTCTCCACTTTAAACTGCTCCTCTGGGAGAAGAAAACAGCAGCTCATTACTTTCTCAGGTTGGATTATAATAAAACAAACATTTTCTGAAAAGGCAGAATGTTAAAGACGCTGTATGTTTAAGGTCTTTTATTACAAGTTTCGTCAGACCCAACAGAACAGTCTGGTTTCAGATCCATTTCCAGAAGAGGGCGCTGTGCACCAATAAACATGGGTGCTGGTCTTCTATGACCCTCCAGCTCATTTTGGACATGCCTGATGCAGTTAGGATGAGTTACTTAGACCAATCTGGACCTTAAGCTCAGTTTAGATTTGGGAACACGAAAATATATTTAAAAAAAATGTATGATATAAAGCAAAGACTGTTTTTAAATTACAAAACAACTTCAACAGAAAAATGAGGGTGGGGCTACAACAGTAGCCTCTGAAATTTAAATCTAACCCAGATTGTCAGTACTGGTACCCATTACTGCATGATAAAAACAGACAGAAACCGAAATCTCCCTGGGGGACTAGTTGGATGGCACTTTCAGGAAGTTATTAGAAGAGGTCAAGGCCAAAAACAAACTGAAAGAAAAAGGAGCCTGCTAGGAATATAACAGAGGAACAAAGGTAGAATTGTAGGTGGGACAGGCAGAGTTGCCAGGTTACAGGCAGGCTGGGTTTGCTAGACTAATCGTGAGGGAGGAGCACCAGAGTTTGGCTCGTCGCTTCTTGCTCGTGACTACCTATGAGCCCCCTGTTGAGTCAAAGCACGACAGGGAAATCGCACTCTCGGAAATATCTGAAACGAATGAAAAAACCAAACGGGCAGAGCTGTGGTAGAGGTCACCAACAGAGGGACAGGCCTAACCCTAAACCTGCTGATGGACCAGACACAAGGCAACCCCACCTTTATAGGAGAGTATTAAAGGAACATTACTTTGAACTAAGGAAGAACACAAGCAGCTTTTAAATACTGCATGTTTGCCTATCCCCACCATTCTAGATGTGTGATCAACAGAAATGTAATGATATATAGCCTAGCCCATATTATTCAGGTGAAGTAAGCCGCTCCATAAAAAGTTTGCTTCCTAGAAGAGAAGCACAGATAAAAATTAAACCAATGGAAAAGTATCCGTCAGTAAATGTGCGACACCTTCATTAAATGACGATTTTACTGCCACTGAAGGAGGCCCTACATTAGGGGTTTAACAATGAAACGGAGAGGCCCTGAGGAGGAAGAGGCATTTGAAAATGCAGATGAATGAGAGAGAGCATGACTTCCAGGAAGGAACAGGAAGGCTGAATAAAGTCTGCTTTGCTTCAGCCTTCATCCTCTGCTACTTATGCAACATGCTGGATGTAGAAACCTTGCCTACCTGAGGATATACATTTTTTTTTAGAAAAGGAATGCAAACATGGCATTTACGCTCAACTGCCAAAAGAAGAAGCTAAAGATGTTCTTTTAAACACCATCTTATAGTGACTGCAGCACGACACTTCCTCTAGACACATTTATGACCACAAACATGAGGTAGTTAGTAAATTTAATCTCCTTCGCATGTAGAAGAGCTTAGAAAGCCTAATTGGTTTAAATAGACTGACGGTTATTTCCAGTCTGATTTAAACTGCCAGACCGGCTCATCCTGACTTCCCATCATCTTAATCTTAAATATATCCTGTTAAAAATGGGAGAAACTAGGAAATTATAGAGATGTCCATAAGCTCTAAGAAACATGAACTGTAAGCCAGACGACCAGTTTTACTTACCAAGCGACCTGGCAACGTCATCCAACTTTTCTTGGGAGCGACTGATCAACATCATGGCAAACCCTCGACGAGCCAACTGCAAAAACATTAGAAGAGAAAAACCCTTAATTTCCCGTCATTCCAAACTATACAGGCTGCTTATTATGGTGCATAAGGTAAGGAAGTTCAGTGCAGCCGTGGCAACGATTTAATTTTGTATGGTCACTGAAATTTAGCAGTAGAATACCATTCATGGCAATCAAATGCGCGATTACCAAGACAAGTATTGAGACTATGCTAATAAAACTGGAGAGTCCAACCAACTGCATGTTCTTTGATATACATTGAGGTTTTTTTTTTTTTTTTTTTTAACATAAACGTTACACTTTCAAAAATAATCTAAAAATAAGTAATTTCTTAAAATTGTATTTTTCCTTCATTTGAACAGGTCAATAAAAAAAAACATGCTTCTATTAAATCATTTTTGCAGCGCAGGAGCATGTTACCAGAAATGGAAAAAATATAAAAATAATTGGTACCTGAAAAACTAAAACCTTCATGTGCCAGAAAAGGGGACATTTGTGGAACTCAACAACCAACTTGTTGCCCCCCCCCAATGATCAACATATCCTTAGTACAATAGTCCAAACATGTGTGTGCTAAATCTAAATAGAACTGTAGACTCTCTCCCCTACTGTGACCCATTGGGTAAATAATGTAGGTGCATGAGTCAGATTGTACAGGACTTACCTCCTCCGCGTAGGATTTCCCGATGCCATCAGTGGCTCCTGTCACAACTGGGGAGAAACAGAGGAGAAGAATAAAGTCATAAGAGGTCAAGGCCAGTTAATGCTACTAGGCTCACTGCAGGGTTCAAGTAGGAGTAACTGAATGCCTCAATGCTGGGACCCAAATGGTTTTGATTGAAATCACAGCGTCAAAGTGGGAAAATACAGTCGGACTTCTGAAATGGACCCTGTCGTGCTTCACTGGGATAAAACGCATAAAAACACCCAACCCTGATTATGGAATTTCCTCCACTTAGGCACCAACAAATCTAATTTGTTTGGAAAGTTACGGCGCCGCCGCTTCAGGTTTGGCCGCTTGAGTTAGTCAACGCCTCGAGATGGAGTTAAGCCAGAGGTTTTTACTGTGCAAGAAGACAGTCGAGGTATGATCAGTTGTACACGCCCTGCAACAAAATGCAACTGCTATTCACCGAGGAACAGTAGAGGCTATACAGCAACAAATCTTTCCTTCAAGTAAGAATGCCGACAGCACAGATCTAGACCTCATATGTATGGAATACAATAGATGAGAACCAGAGACTAATGCCTATGCAAATATAAAAATAATGACATAAAGTGACCAGTCTTAAAAAAGATGACAGGAGGGGGGGGATGCAGAGAGGAGGGAGTGATGACGAACATTGAGAGGGAGAAAGGAGGATGAAGAGGGGTAGGGAGGGATCCTAGGGGTGGCTAAAAATAGAACTGGGGCGAAGCAAGAGAACAAAAGAGTGGAGGAGATGTACAATGAGGAGAAGAGAGTGAATGAAGGAGAGAAGCTTGGAAGGCTCACACAGGGTGAAGCTGGGAAGAAAGAGAGAGAATCCCTGGTTATTTTTAAACCCCCCCCATGTTAAGAATGAAACGCTCCATGGCAGAAAAGCCTCAATGGGCATGGGTTGCACCAAAGCTGGATGAGGCTGCAGCTGCAGGGGAAGGAGGCAGAGAGGAGGCTCCAGCTGCTGAGAAGAAAAAATGGCTGAGGAGAGAGAGGGTGGTACGTCTGCAGACATGACATGAAGAGAGTTTGTTTCATGGGCTGCAGCATCTCAAAATATTTAACGGGATGCAACAGGAGAAAGACCGTTTCCAAAATGTTGCTCATTCATGGAACAGAACAAACTAAACTCCCTAAGATGTCGAGTAGATTCCTCCCAAATGGGAAAACCACCATTAATAGATGGGGTGGCTATGAGAGGCAGAAAGTGCTGCCCGTTTGCAGGAATGAAAGAAGAATGCATGACTGCCTGAACCCTCAGACGCAGGCGCGTAACAAGCAGATAAAGTAATGCAGGAATGCTCTCCGACGGCTAACTGGTCCTCGCTGATCCGTTTCTCTCAGATGGATGTTCCTGTCAAACATGTTATACATTTCAAGAATGCACTTGGTAAATTTCCAAGTGTGCACTTCCAATCAAGGAGCTTCACTCTGTGCCTCCTTTGTAGGAGAAGTTTCCATCTTAAAATAATCATTCCATCAACAAAAATCAGTAAAAAAAAAAAAAGGTTGGAACAAGACAGACGTGGCATTTATCTACAGGCCGTCACGGTCACTTGAAATTTAGGCCAGAGGACATGTTTAAGGAACTCTACGCAACATTCTAAGATAATCTGAAACTATTTGTCATCTTTCACCCCAGTTGAAGTCAAATAACATTAGCAGTACAGGGAAGTTGCAGCAAAAACTACATTTTTTTTAGTTTAGGGTACCATGTTCAGCACAAGAAAATCATTTGATTGCTAAATTTATTTTCTACCCATATGAGATGCATTTGTATTATTCCAGCTTCCTGTTGAACCAGAGTATGGCTACTAGGGCTGAACGATTTTCCCAAAATTCTAAATTGCGATTATTTTTAAACCAAGCTGAGATTTTATTTTGATTTTCCTTTGGAACAACCCAAAGCTTATAGATGTTTCACCTCCAGGCTTTTGGGTTTTTGAAAGCCTGCTTACCCAGAGTTGATTGTTACAGGACTTTACGGTAACCGTTGTATGAAAATGTCTTTACTTATACTTGCATGCATGGATCTGCTGCTAGCTGCAAATCTCTCTTCTGTGGGGCAAAAAACCCATTTCAAGCATTTAATCTCCACCTAAAGGCTAGGAGTGAGAAATTTAGTGTTTTTACTCTTGTTAAATATAGTGTAATTAAAAATCTGTGCCAATTTTAAAACTGCATATTATTTAATTGTGACTTAATTGCAAATGCAATTATTTGCCCAGCACAAATGGCTACACTACACGCCCTCCCCGTCACCATGTTGCATTTTTCTCAAATATTGACCAGCATCTGATCGAGTCTGTGCTGCATTCATATCCTAAGGATCTCCTCACTGAATAATTGGAAAAAGGAGCAAAATCTGCAACTCATTAATCCTCAGACAAGCCTTTCCTTCATCCCCTGGGATTAAATATCTCCTCACGTGCCAGACGCATGACATCAGTGACAAAGCTTGAGCATAACAAAGAGGACATACGCATGTGAGTGACAGCATCACTGACGGGAGCAGGGTCAATGAGTGTTGATGGGGCCCAGCAGTGTGTGTGTGAGTAAGGAGACTAGCTGCTGCCTCACTTCATCCACACCAGCAAGCGACAATCTGCTGCAATGTTCTGGGTGACCTGATGGGGGCGTATTTGCACTGCAGTTCAGCTGTGCCTGGTGCAGCACAACATATTCAGAGACATTGATTTCCCCCCAGCCTTTTCAGTCTCCCTCCCTCCCTCAGCAGTGGAGCAGCCCCTGCCTGCAGCCTGCTCACTATTCTAAGGGGCTAAAAAAAGCAGCTAGGGGAGTAAAAATAGCAGCTCCTGCTCCTGCTCGTCTGGGAGCTGCCTGCTGCTCCACCTGAATACCAATAAGATCCCCAACCAACATGGCCAAGGAGGATGCTGGATCCTAAACCCTCTGGCTAACGCACCAACGCCTACATTAGCACTGCCAACCTGAAGGAGAGGAAAAGGCTCACGTTAGTAAAGCCAAACAAATTGCGTTTGTCTGCATTACATAATCTGCTGTAACCATTCCATTTAAAAAAATTTATTAAAAGAAATTGAATCTCCCACTTTTCATATTTAAACACACACAAACAATCGTTTGGGAAGTCACATGGGTGATGTAAAGACTGACAAAAATAAAGCTAAATCAAGCCAAAGGAGGAGGTAAGGGAGGGTGAGCGGATAGAGGGAATAACACAACATGCTCTGCACAGCTTCTCAAGATAGAAGCTCTATTTCAAGACAGAGAGCAATAAATGAATCTCGTCCACAAAGATTGTCCTGAATTTCCCCCTAGATTGTTTTTTGTCTTAAAGTTCACTCATTTCTGAAAGAGTTTCATCAAGAGATTACAAACAGTTTTCTGCCTTACGTTTATCAAAAGGTATGCCTTGCAAATATTTCCACACCACTTGGGTGATGCAATGCGATAAGAGCACGTCATACAGAACATTCCTCCAAGAACATCCTAGAAGGACTGGCGTCTTTCGACAGGCGACAAGATCTTAAAACCCAACCTGCCACATTTTCTTTAGACAAACTGATACACGCTTAATAAAATGTGGTTTAAGACTAAACGGCATGACAGAGGCTTCTTGCTGATGCCCTTGATGGCCATAAAAATAGAAACTAGTAGGGCAAATGAATAGTTGTGCAACAGGTCAAAATGTGGGCTAGTTTTAATCTAGTTTATCAAGAAGGTTCATGGTTAGTGGAAAATCATCAACATACCGAAAACATTTTCAGCAGAAATAAACTTGAAGTCTTTCACAAGAACAATTCTTATACAGATTTGTTCCCTTCAGGTTCTGCATTGAATTTGTGCAACAAACTATTATAGTCAGATATGCTGGTGAAGATTCTAAGTCATCCAGGTCAATCAATCTGAAAAAAAAACTTCAACAATCCACTGGACTTTGTTTCAGAGTTGGAAGACGTTTCACTTCCCATTCAGGAAGCTTTTTCAATTCAAAATGTCACAATTAGCATTGAGTTCAATGTTTTATACAGTAGCCCATATAAGCCTTGTTTTTGTTTGGAAAACATGCAAACTGAAGCAGACAAAGACAAGGTTTTGTTGGTATAAAACCTTGAACTCTATTTCTGACATTTTTATATGAAAAAGCTTCCTGGATGGGAAGCGAAACGTCTTCAAACTTAGAAACAAAGTCCAGTGGATTGTTTGTTTAACTTTTTTGGAAATAAAATATTACAGTCGAGAATTAAATGGAAAAACTAGAATGCTTTTAAAAGGAAGAGCCATCTCTAAACTTAATAAAACCGTTTATGCTTGCCTGTCAAAGCCCTGGGAAACACCAGCATTACAGAAACCAATTAAACTTGCTAAAAAAGCTAGTTTGATAATTCCCCAACAGGCAAAGATGGCTAAAGACGAAGACAAATGAAACACTAAGGGAGAGAAACAGAAGTTTAAATTTCCATTCATTTTGTCCAGCATCCATTCCTCCGACACGTGTGACGGAGCGTGTTCATCACATGAGCGGCAGCCCACCTTCCCTCCACCCACACATACAGCACCAGGGGAAGCATAAATGAGAACCCATGCATCTATTGAGACATGGGCTGATGGACCTCAAAGAATAATATTTAGAGCCCTTTCATTAAAAATACTAAAGGGTAAAATGTCCAGATGCTTAGGACTGTGTGAAACTGCATGCAAGTAAAGACAGCTGACTAACCCATGCCTTTGTCAGTGTGTTCCCCTGATGAATGGCTGCATCCTCCTTACATAACAGACATTTTCTGAATAATGTCAAAGGAAATTAGAGGTGAAAACAGAGCCACAACCCATCCTATCCTCCCCTCCACAAAAACATCTCAGTCTAAATTCATTTCCCTATAATGGAGCTTTACAAGCACGTAACAGAGCAGGCTCCGGCATCCGCTTACATAATACGGCAAACCGGAGAGTAACCCTGAGGGAGGGAGTGGAGTGAGGCAAACCCTCACTGCACTGCATATATGACCAGGAAGGTGCATAGTCAATAAAAAAGAATGATGCTTCAACTGAAAACTGCATTTAAAGAATAAATGTAAATTAAACACTACAAAAAAATCCTTAAAAAAGAAATCCATGCCTTGGATTTGGCTTTAGCAAAAGGGTTCTTTTGTTTGGCAAACGTAAGAGGAGCTGCTGATGGTGCAGCAGAGGGGCTGTAGAAACTGGATTCATGCTGCAATCCTCCTACTCTGCCCTTAGGAGTCCCAGCCATCTACAGAGAACCCAGGAGAGCCGGTGGAATCCCGGATCTGCAGAGCTTCACTCAATCCACAGACTGCTGATAAGTTAAATTCCTTGTTACGGCAAAACACTCTAAACCTGAAATACCTGTTACCATGACTACGGTCTAATCAGCCAAGTCAGCAAATTTTCCATTAGTTAAAAATAAAAGCACTTTTTATGTCTGTGGAAATTAAATTATTTGTTGAACACTTTTGATTTACAGTACAATACTTTATTTTGCTGTATCTTGTGTTTAACACATTGTTTAGGATCAGTTGGAGGACTGGACAGGACCGAATACAACATTTCGCTAAAATAATTCAGAAGGAATTAAAGAAGAACTAGAAGTTTACTTCACACAGCTTGAAAGCCGGTCATATCTCAATGCAAATTTAATAACAGCCACTAATTTGGATTCAATCTGGAAAAACATTTTGATAAATAATTCGGCTGAACACCTGAAATTTTGCTCCCCAATCGAAAAATAAAAAGGCAAGGATCAATAGAGATACAGATAATATTATAGGTTTAGATGGGTAATGTATAACTGAAGTTTGCTACACTAAGGTGGCTAAATAAATTAAACTTACTTGGGGTCCAAATTATGGTCATATCTGGCAGCAATAAACCATAACCCCGACGCTGAAACTTATAAGGAGCTTTTTTTGCTTTAAAAATACAATAAAAGAACAAACCTTTCATTTTGCACCAGATCAATGACTACTTAAGTTTTTGTTTGAAACACAAATGCCTAAAAATAAGTTTAAGAAAAGCTGACAGGTTTAAAAATCGGATTAACTGCACTGTGTCTGGACTGAAAAATAGAATGTAGATGTAATCTGAGGGTCAGAAGGACCAAAGTAAGGTTTGAATAAAACTAAATCATTAAAAACTGGAGATGGAGAATTTGGAGCAGCAAGTAAGAATAAAGCTGAAACTAAAAGCTATAGATATTTACAGTCCCCCCCCACCCCACACACACACACTTGGTGAATGTGCCAAGCAAGAAAAATCACCACCGCCTAAACTGGCTACACAGGCGCATCAGGGCCAACCTGTTGAGAGGAACAGCTCATCCATGGCGCACAGCTCACCTCCCCCACCCCCCCACACCTGCTCACCCAGTGCCATCCTCAGCCGTTGTGACCGGGGACGAACTTCAGACCTGTCAGACTGGTGGAAGTCGCAGGTTTCAGGGAGTGGCATGCAACTTAGAGTTACGCAAAGGAGCAGCATGCGTGGAAAAGTTAGGATGAGGTTAAATCCCCAACAGATTGAAAGTCACCCCTCCCATCATGCACGAAAAACAAAGAGGTGGGGTGGGGGGGGCAATGGCATCACAATTAATAGTCACTTCCTACGCAATAATACAAGGGGGATTGGAAATACCGATGGAAAGAAGGTGATCAGAGGGCAATGGATGACGATAATCAAGCGTGATTCATCAGTGCAGCGACATTCCTCCGCATTCAGTCAGTCAGGGAGGGGGGGATAAGCCATTAACACATTTATCACCCTCCCCCTCCCCCCTGATGGAACCAATTAAAGATTATTGATCAATCGGAGGAAAACCACACAGCTCCGACCAGAACTGTGTGGTGATCAGTCTGAGCATGGAGGGTAAAAAACCAGCCAGGATCATCAGCCTGCTGCTGTCTGAATGAAGCCGGCAGGATGCAGAGGAGAGCGGACTGAGCTGCAGCCTTTACCGGGGAGGAGGAGACTGGGGAAGTGGGTCAAAGAGGGACAACGACATGATGATCCGAGATTACAACAATCAATGAAGGATTCATCCTGGTCCCATCAATTATCGGCACTATTCATCAAGATGGATAAGGTGAAGAATAGAAGTGAAGCACGTGTCAAAATGATAGATTGACAACTTTAATTTGACACGTGTCATTTAAAGGATCCACATGTGGGTCAGGTTTTATTACAGGCTATAGGCCGCTTTAGCTTTGTATAAATGTATTACTGTTAGAGTCTGAGAGCGAACCCCCACGCTAAAACTGCGGGCTGAAAAGTGCGCATAGCCTGCGCAATTTTGGCTCCTGGCTCACCAATGTGGGGCACCCCCCTCCCGCCCCCACCTATTGCCTAGTTCCCCTCACACTGCTCCAATGGGGGGTTAAAATGCTGATTGGGAGCCAGGTGGTTAGAGAAACAGAAGGGAGGAGAAAAAAGGTAATCGAGCAAATAAAGACCAATGCCTTGTGAGTTAATTACCTGCTTACCTGAACCTGTTATGCAACACAAACATGAAGTAAGGCGCACAGACAAACCCAATCAGGATTCACCTTTCCTGGGTCTAAAGTGAAGTTTAAGCCCCACAGAGATACTTCTGGCCGCCATGTAACTGCGGCGGCGTGGAAAAAACAGCCCACTGCTATAAGCAGACTCACCTGCCCATTTCCCCAGCTTTGGGCTGAGGAGCTGCCCGTTCCCCAGGATCCATATCCTAACGCCTGTGATCAGCCTGTAGAGCAGCCACAGCACCAGGAAGGCCACGGTAAACCCACCGACCCAGAGCAGAGGCGTCTCGGCCCAGCTGATCAGCTCATCCACGCTCTCCAGGTCCATGGCTGCAGCTTCTCGGTGACTCAGCGCGTGTGTGCGTGGAGCAGAGTGGGTAACACTGGAGACCTCAATTTTAGGCAATGTGCTCTAATTTCCCTGCCACAACGTGAGAGAGAGTCCCTTTATAAGGAGGTTGTAGCATCACACACACACTCCCACCCCTCACCCCCCCAACACTTGTCTAGCCTGATTTGAAGAGCCACGCCCACCTCCGCTCCTGACTGACTGCAGCAGGTGTCCCTCTGTCAGTCCGCTTCACCTCATTGGTCAGTTCTCATGTCAGTCAAAACCGGAGCTTCCCCCCCATTCATTAGGTTTTCTGTATGAAGTAGGGGGCGGGACTCAGCCGGAATCGGAGCGCGCTGTGATTGGACGCACATTACGGCAGTTCTCATCCGGAGTTTCTGATTGGCTGTTGGGGGAACAGGTTAGACAGTTTCAGTGAGAATTATGAAACCACCAGAACCGACGCTTTCGAAAAAAAAAAAAAAACTGCCCATACCACTTTATGAATGAAATGGTGCCTTCATTGGTGCGGAATGTGCGCATCCACCCGCCCCACGGAGGGCGCATAAAGCCCCCCCCATTGGCTGAAGTGACGCCGGTCTGTGAGGTCAGCAAAGCATGACTCACCCCACTATTTCAGGTATTCTGTCTGCATCGCAATGCTGATAATCACCAAAAAATGTGAAAACAGGTGCATGTAAGCATCCTGGCATCTAGATTCAGAATGATGTAGCGCCCTTCACATGCTGCTGCTCCCGCTTTTCCTGCACTTATCAGCCTTAGATGCTCAGCAGATAGAAAAAACTACAAACCCCAGCTCTACACCGTCCGCACCAGCCAGAGCTCTCGCGATATTACTCATCAGTTGTGAGTTCCCCAATCCAAAACATTGAGGTGATGTGCGAGTGTTACATAAACATTCAGGCTTGTAAATTTCCATCGCTTTTATTTCACAGAGTGTTTAAAATTTCCACACGAGTTCATAGAAAAAACTTGTTACACGTCACCAAAGCATGTCACCTTTTTAATTTTTCACAATAAAAATCAGCAGCACTATAGTAGGATGTTTGCAACAGTTTTTCATTTGTTGTTTTCACACCCTATCTGCCTGCAAGCCGCCATGCTCCATGTCTTCCCCCCTCATCCATCCAGGCAGCCGGGCAAACCAAACACGAAATGCAGCCAGACCAAGGCTCTGTGGCTCCCAGCAGAACCTGCTGTGTACTCTGCAGAGCAGTGAGAGTAAGAAACTGGTGTTTCTCCTCCAAAAATTTCCTGCTGCTGTTCGCAAAATTAGACACAATCGTCGGGCATCCGAGAGGAAGGAGAAACAAATTGTATAAACATTTCATAACAAATTCAGCAAAATGCACGAGGGAAAAAAAAAATCAGCTTTTTTTTTTTAAGAAAAAAATATTTGCACAAATGTCATCTTTAATATAAATAATTCATGGCACAAACTGACTGCTCTAGTACAATAATGAGGAAAACATACAGGGTTAAAAAGGGTCTGCATTTTATATTTAATATGTAACACAGCAGATCCAATATACAGTATGATTGGAATGTTGCACATGCCAAGAAAAATGTTACATGTTTGAGAAGACAGACAATGAACATCCAGCTGTTATACACACACTCACTCTGATGCTCTCTCTCACACACACACTGCAAACAGGGGAATCCGGCCTCAGATCACTGCCATGATTTGTCTGCCAAACAGCTGTAGAGACACAAACCAAAACAAAAAATGCTGTTTATCAATGATGTTAAGTCCTGCTAAATCTATACAGATGCACTCAAATTTACCTTCATCATTTTTTTTAAAAGACTTCATATTTATCTTCGAAAAATTCACCTTAAAGATCCACCTTAAATTTCAACATATTCAGACTGAGAAAAAAAATAACCCTGTGTAAACAACAAAATGTTCTAATTAAATTAATAGTGATAGCTATAAAATATATAAAAACGGCTAAATTTGTTTTCCAAATGTTTTCCTTTAACTAATACTTTCAGCAACGTTTAAGTAGCCACATTTTTGTTACTGGCTCTTTAAAATGGGAAATACAATAAAACATAGATTTTATGTACATCAAATATGTGTTGGTATAAGTCAACAAAGAAGACACACTAAAATCAACTTGACAATATGCATTTTCAGAGCCAAAATTGAAAAGCTGCTTTAAAAACTAGCAGGAGGTTAAGGAAGGTAAAAACAACATTTCATTGAATTGTTATATTTAAAGGTCTACAGTAAAGATGGCCACCATAACAGCCATCCCACCTACCATCACAAACAAAAACAGTTTGTCAAACCCCATCAAGAGCTGCTGTCTTTGTCAGATGAAGATAACATGGACATTTCCAGCAATATATTCTGCAGGTAAGCTTAGTGGGAAAAGCCAAATAACTTTATGTTGTATTTTTTACTGTTAAGGTTGAATATCATTTGTGGATTATTTTTTTTATTTCCCATCATGCATTTTCTATCAGAAAACTAAACCGGGTCTGTTTTTTTTCATAGTTTGTTTGTTTGTTTTTTGAGCAGGAGAATTATCCAAAACATAAAATGAAACATTAAAGTAAATGAAAACCAGCAACATAATTCATTTGGTCTTAGTTAATTTTAGCCCCAACAACTAAATCCTTTAGAAAGCCTGTGTGGTGAGCTGTAGAGAAGAGAGTGTTAGGATTCTAGAGGATCTATTGGAAGCAGTGATGATAATGATCCACCTAGTTTTATGGGTTATATGGGAGATTTCTGCTAAAGATTAATTATTATTTCTTAACAGAGATTATTTCCCCCCCTCTAAACGATTTACACAACAGCTCGAACTGGCTTTTTAGAGTATTTTATATTCAGGATGGTTCCTGTGCAATAAAGAAATAAGTCATCTTTAAACTTTTTCATATCTTTTTACCACAGATTCCAAATGATGTTGCATAAATAAAACGAGAGCTACAAGACCCAAAACAAACACAAAAACAGATGTTTTACTTTAAAAAAAATAGGCGATTTATAGGTTTCATTAAACAGCGCTTTTTTAAGTCTTTAAGTGTGTTAAACACATGTCTGCTGTGGTATCGACTGCAGACAATCATTATTCTTTACATTGAAACCTTGAAAGTTTCGCCCTGTCTTTCTTTACCAACCACACACTTTTTCCCACCCCTCGCCCCCCCCCCCCCCCCCCATACACACGCAAATCCACACACACACACACACACTTTTTATTATTATTATTTCAAAGTTAAACTGTAGAAACCAAATGGGAGACTTTTGTTAGGAATATTTAAGTTTATATTTTAAATGTTCATGATTTAAAGGCTTCAGGTTTCAGATTTCCTCCTAAAGATAACCCCCCTCCCCCTCCCCTCCTTGCGTGTTGCTGTCCGCTCCGCGGTGCTGAAACGCGCCTTTCAGTGCAATAGAAAGCAGGAGCGCGGAAAAACGAACCTGCAAATCCTCCATCCTCTTTTTAACTTCACTCAGCGCAGGTGGGCTGTGGCTGCGCTTTTTGTTTTTCACTTTTTAAACTAATATTGCAGAACCAGAAACACACACGAGGATAACTAAAGCTTAACGACTTGGAAAAATAGGCAGAAACACTAATTCCACATTTTCTTAAACTATAAAAAAAATATGGTCTGCTGTCGAAAGATCTCAACAACAGCAAAGTTTCATCAAAAATAAATACTTGTTGATTTGTTTTTATTTTATTTTATTTTTTCTCTGATCTGTGCAGGAGTTCCCAAAACCAGTCGGAGAATCGGTCACACCCTGCATCCTTTACGCAGGAGCCTAGGGCGATTTCGGACCTCCTTAACCTTTAATGTGCGCCACAAGTGGATTATTTACGCACAATGTTGTTCCTGTATGAAACAACCATCAGCTCCAACTTCTCGGCTCACCGAGGAGGACAAACGAAGGGAGCCGAGCGCAGCGTCTCAGGGAAAACCACAACAAACTTACAGACTCAGGTGTCACACTTTCTGATTTACAAACCTTCAGTGGTGTTTTATCCGACAGAGAACTGCGATGTGACAGCTGCTTCATCTGAGGACAGAAAAAGAGCAGCGCATGTATGCTTATCATCCTTCACAGATTTCTAGTCTATAGTTTTACCATAATTGGTGCGTTTTTGGAGCCTAACAGCTTCATTATAAATTATTAAAATACGACTTAATAGATACTTAAGTGTATTAATTTATGTATAATAAATAAAAACAGTGTGTTTGTGTGTGTCTGTAAATTAAATGAGGAAGAGAATAAAGGATGGTTCCTCGTGAGTTTTTACCTGAAAAGTGTGTCTCGTTTCATTTTAAATGTATACAATCAGCCATAAATTAAAGTTCATTATTTTTTGTTCTATTTAAGGATAAAACCAGTTGATACACACCTGTTGTGTGTGTGTTCAGGAGGCAGAGCTGAGTGTGCAGCTGCTCAGCATGATGGGGGGAGGACTGGTCTTCTGTGCTTCATCCTGAACACACAAACAAAAGGAAAACGTGTCAGCTGCTTTTTCCAAACAAGCTAAAAAGGACAGACTTACATCTACTGCTATGCTGATCCCCAGACATACAGCAACACACACATACACACACACGGAGCTGCTCACTCTGGAGACGCTTCTCACACATTCCCATTTCAGGTCTATAAATTCATACTAAAGCAAAACCACCAAGAAGCTGAAAACGAACTAATTCAAAGCCTCCTGACATGAAATAAACACAGATTCCTGTCAATCCATCCACGCTGTGCAGGAAACCGATTATGTATTGATCCAGACAGTTTTTGAGGAGGGTGCATGCCTTGCACAATTCACAATTAAATCAGTAATCTTAGCTGTATTTTTTCATATTGCTGCTAATGCCCATTTTACAGATAACTGTATGACCAGTAGGTTAGTTTGAATTTATCAGATTGTTTCAAATTTTCTATGAATAGAATTAGTAAAAAAAAAAAGCAGCATAGAATAAAATTTAGATATTTGCTTTTCATACTTGTATCTTAGAAGTTTCCTCTCTTGTCCCGCTTCATGTCTACCATTGAGACTAAATTAAGAGGAACATGTCTCAGAATGATTTTAGTGAGTCACCAAAAAGACAGTGCTTTGATTTACAAAACATATCTTCCAAGATAACTTTTTCTTTAAAAAACCTTAACATCCTTTGTGCGGGAAAGCTGAAAGTAAAAAGCTAAATTTTAGTGGGTGCATCTATTGGTGACTGAATGGAATAAATGACAACTTGGCCTGAAAACCAGTCTCTGTTACGACTGTCTAAGGATTAGATCCTCACCTCAATTTTTTAAAGATTCCTTTTGACTTCCCTATCTTCACTATTTAAATTGCAGCAAGTTAATTTATCCACTAAACATTTTTAGGCAGGTAATGAAGAGTCAGTTGCTAAAGAACAACATAAATTGACGAGGGAGGGTTTCCACTCAGTCATTTACATAAGAAAATTATATTTTTAGATATTATCGACATAGACTTTTCAGATTAAAACACCCTTTTTGATTCTTCTGCCATCAGATTTTCATAAAATCATCTGGACTCTAAATAGGCTGAGATTTTTTACGAATTTGCTAAAAATGTTAAGCTCCAGTTGTGCTTCTTTTATTTCTTTTTTCAAGATAACTGCACCCAAAAGGCAAAATTCCTCTTATTTATTGTTTTTTTTGAAAGACTCATTGGTAATTCCTGCTTACCTTTGATTTATAGGCCACCCTGGTGTGATGATAAGGGCATTTGGAAGAAAACAGGCCCCCAGCACCACATATTGTCTGCCATACAGTGGGCATGATGGGGGCTTTTCCACGCCATCATTTATGACAACTTTAATGTTTGTGTCCTATAAGGGAAGTTAATTTTAAACAAGCAGTTTACCAAAACTTTGGGACCTTTTTCTGTTTCCTTTTCCTCCTTGCTTCCAATATAAACACCTTAAATCCATATAACTATAACAATTTGAATTTGTTTTTACTTTCCCTATTTTTTTTAATCAAAAATGATAATATTTCATACTTTTTTGCATGCTTGTTTTTACATTCAATCCACGAGTCACGCCCATTTACCTTGCCTTTGTGAGATCAGACATCATGGGCGCTTTTGGGTCCTGCTCCAACTTGACTTTCCTGGTTTCGGGTGGTGCCCATGGAAATAAGGTGTGGGCTCGCCTCTTAGCTCACCCATCCTGCTACCTCCACCCAGTCGTCATCTGTCTTCATCCTGTTCCTCCACTTCTTGTTTCACCTGCTGCATTGGTAACTACTTCATGCCACCTCATTTTCCTAAAACCCAAAATATAGAAAAAAACACATTAAAGTCATGAAATCCATGGACTATTTAATACACACATAATCAAGGATAAAACTTTTTATTTTGAAAAAAAAAAAAAAAACATCAAAATGAAACTAAACACACTGCGTTGATTAATAAAAAAAAAACTTTTGTTTCACTATAAATCTCAAACTACTGACTTTTCCTTTTAAAAATTCACATATGCAACCAAACACTAAATTTAAAACTTGGATTCATTTTATGGGTAGACTTCTTACAGTTGCACATCAGCCTCTGCAGCACAAAGCTTCCAATACAACCAAAGATCCAGCAGAGCCGGCCTTTATTACCACATTTGTAAAATGAACATAATTCATAAAACCAAACACAAGATAATGCAGATGTGCTGAGTTTGCATCATTCCCACCCCTCACGCTGTCCATCCCTTGCCAGATTATCCTAGTTCTAACTACTGTCTGCAGATATGCTGTGTGGATTCTCATAACGTCCTATAATGTCCTGGAGAACCAGAGGAGACCACCATTCCTTTCACATGTGAGCCTCCGAGATCTTTCAGCCTGCTCAGGTCCATGCAACCTCCTCAATCTGTCCCACTTAATAGTTGCTCATTGCATTCCCACTACTTACTTCCTGACACTGATCCACCTGAGGACTAAAATAAGCCAATATTCTCGGATTAAAATCAGCCTCATCTTTACTTAAGGAAAGTCACCAAAAGTGACTAAACATTACAGCAGATATATGCTGAAAGTTTTTGAAAGTTGTGTGGGCTTCGGTAAAGAAAATCTAACACTTTTTGACTTCCAGACACTCCAGGGTTGTTATTTTCTTTTTTAGTTTTTAGTCCTTAATTAGTGCCATTAATTAATTTAATCGATGTCAAAACGTGCTTCCATACACACAGTACCTGCAGGTATTCTTTGAGTTTTTACATCCGGTGTCATATCTACAGCATCAAAGCTCTCTGTAAATTCAAACTGCAAAGATCATCTTACACAGAAAACGAATAAATAACACAAAACAGAAAGTTGTGTTAACGAGCAGCTGAAATATTTCCCTCACAGCATTTTTCTCACACATAGAAACAAAGAAATAGTCCCAGGATTGTTACGTTTACAGTTCATGCGCATCTTTGCTATAAATGTTAAGATGAACTCCACGTGGTTTTAATGCACAGCTGAACTTCTGACGACAGAAAACTGCTTAGATTCTCACCTATTTGTCAATTTCATACATTCATGTATATTCATTTCAAAAAATGGTTCACAGCTTTTTGTTTTGGTAAGCAGAACACTCACACACTTTCTCAGTTTAAGGGACTTTAGTTGGGAGAGTTTTGTGACAGAGGTTAAATGTTTTAGATATTTTGTTTGTATTATTTAATTTTAGTTGGTCAATGTTAATTCGATTTAAAAACAAAACAAAAAAAGAAAATGATCTGAGTGTGTGTAAATATTTTAACAATCATTTGTTTTGTTTTGTGTTTTTAAACATGTAAACATTTAATTACCACTTTTCACAGTTTTTATGTGAGATAATATCACATCATCCGGTGTGGTTCAACATTTCTTAAGCACGATCAGCAAATTAGGAGCTGCTGCATTTGCCTGAAAAAACACACAAATCTTACAATTCATGCAAAAGCTATCTGCCTGTGCTGAAAAATGTATTTTACCACACAAAATTAGAGACAATTTTCAAAAAAATGCACGCAAACCTGTTAGATTGTCATGCAACATTATAAAAACTCCCAGAATCTAAATTATAAATGGATACATTCTGTAGAAGAAAATAGAGTAAAGTGTAGCTTTTGTGTTTGATTAACATTTGCGTTAGTCATGCTTAAAATGTCAGTAAGACCCAATAGCATCTAATCCTTTCTCTAACTCTGTTAGGTCAACATGTAACATCCCAGTCAGCAGGTGCAAACTCTTAAAAATACATCACACAAACATAAAGAGGTTTCCAAAAATATACCTGCACCTTTAATTTTTTTTACTCCTTATCAAGTCACAACCGCAAACATTGAGGAATTTCGTAAGATTTCACACATAAAGAGGAGAAAAGTAGTGTTTGCATTCAGCCTTTCTCGACTCAATACTTTCTTTACATAATAAGAGATGGAAATTTTTTCAAGTTCTAGGCTTTCAAACTCAGTCAGATAAGACAGGAAGGATTGGGAATAGGAATGCTTTATTTTTCTCCACAAACTTACACTATATTGCCAAAAGTATTTGCTCACCTGCCTTGACTCACATATGAGCTTAAGTGACATCCCGTTCCTAATCCATAGGGTTCAATATGACGTCGGTCCACCCTTTGCAGCTAGAACAGCTTCAACTCTTCTGGGAAGGCTGTCCACAAGGTTTAGGAGTGTGTTTATGGGAATTTTTGACCATTCTTCCAGAAGCGCATTTGTGAGGTCGCACACTGATGTTGGACGAGAAGGCCTGGCTCTCAGTCTCCGCTCTAATTCATCCCAAAGGTGTTCTATCGGGTTGAGGTCAGGACTCTGTGCAGGCCAGTCAAGTTCATCCACACCAGACTCTGTCATCCATGTCTTTATGGACCTTGCTTTGTGCACTGGTGCACAGTCATGTTGGAAGAGGAAGGGGCCAGCTCCAAACTGTTCCCACAAAGTTGGGAGCATGGAATTGTCCAAAATGTCTTGGTATGCTGAAGCATTCAGAGTTCCTTTCACTGGAACTAAGGGGCCAAGCCCAGCTCCTGAAAAACAACCCCACACCATAATCCCCCCTCCACCAAACTTTACACTTGGCACAATGCAGTCAGACAAGTACCGTTCTCCTGGCAACCGCCAAACCCAGACCCGTCCATCAGATTGCCAGATGGAGAAGCGCGATTCGTCACTCCAGAGAACGCGTCTCCACTGCTCTAGAGTCCAGTGGCGGCGTGCTTTACACCACCGCATCCGACGCTTTGCATTGCACTTGGTGATGTATGGCTTGGATGCCGCTGCTCGACCATGGAAACCCATTCCATGAAGCTCTCTGCGCACTGTTCTATAGCTAATCTGAAGGCCACATGAAGTTTGGAGGTCTGTAGTGATTGACTCTGCAGAAAGTTGGCGACCTCTTCGCACTATGCGCGTCAGCATCCGCTGACCCCGCTCCGTCAGTTTACGTGGCCTACCACTTCGTGGCTGAGTTGCTGTCGTTCCCAAACACTTCCATTTTCTTATAATACAGCTGACAGTTGACTGTGGAATATTTAGGAGCGAGGAAATTTCACGACTGGATTTGTTGCACAGGTGGCATCCTATCACAGTTCCACGCTGGAATTCACTGAGCTCCTGAGAGCGACCCATTCTTTCACAAATGTTTGTAAAAACAGTCTGCATGCCTAGGTGCTTGAATTTATACACCTGTGGCCATGGAAGTGATTGGAACACCTGATTCCAATAATTTGGATGGGTGAGCAAATACTTTTGGCAATATAGTGTATTTTAGGACTCGGTTCTCGGATTGAACTAAATTGTTTACTGCAAAAAACGATCTAGAAATCAGTAAAAATGACTTAAATTAAGTGTATCTACCCTTAATTCGAGCAGGTAAATACAATGATTCGCCAATGGAAGGAGCATTTTTACCCTGAAAATAAGAATTTTAGATCATTTGGACTTGAAATAAGACATTGCAATCGTTTTTTTCTTATTTTAAATGTAAATGTTCTTGTTCCAATTAGCAAAGTGTCTCACTTACCTCCTCAATTCAAGAAAAAATGCTCTTACTTTAAGAAAAAAAGGTCTTATTTATATTTCATTTTTTGCAGTGTTTCATGAGATGAAAAAAGCTTAATTCCAGTGAAGCTCTGGTTTAAAGTTAAGAATCCTTTTCCTGCTGGAGACGCTGAGCCTTTAGTCCCAGCTCTTATCTTTAGCTCTGTCCATCTCCTCAACACGTCTGACCAGCTTCCCAATCTTTGCTGAAGAACAGAAACCCCACATGGTGATGCTGCCACCACCGAGCTCCATAATGATATTACACACAGGAGGGATCTAGTTAGTTATTAGAGGATCCGACTGTTTAGGTTTTAACTAAGGTTAACAGATTCATATTTTCAGATTTTAATATGAAAATGAATTGATTTTATTCTCCTTTCAGAACACAACTCATACCCAGTTTTCAGTTTGACAAAAAAGAAAATCCCAGTAAATACATTGAAGTTTCTGGAAGTTCACTATTTGACATACAAAGATATTAAGAGGTAGGAACATTAAATGGATTCATCATTGTTTCTGCGAGGAAGTAAAGGAAACATTGACATATAAAAAGTCTATTGATGAAAAGTTAATGTAACTATGATTCAGGTTTTATTTTAATTATGTTTCCAAAGCAAACATCTGTTAAAAAAAGCCCAAAGTAAATAATTTTCCTCAGGTGAACGTTATGACTGCACCACTCATGTTCATTAATGGACAACCTTCCAGACAAAACCTAAAAAAGTCTCAGATTTATTCAAAAAATGACAATGCAGCCTTTGATTTGTGTGTCAATGAAAAATTATTTCATAGATAAGTTAGTTGAGAAATAATACACTCAAAATAATTTTTCAAAGCGTGAATACTAACACATTATGAGTTGAGGTAAAAACACTCGACAAAAACACCTTAAAGAAACTAAACTGTTATGAAAGAAAAATACTGAACTAAAACTTTTCATAGAACTTTTTAAGTGAGGATGATTGAAATGAAAACCATTTAAAACTTAATTCTTTCTCATTTAAGATTGTTGTGTGTAAAGAAAAGTTTTTTTTACCCCAGTGGATAATGCATCACTGGGAGAATAATTATAACCTTATGGTGAGGATTTACCCCACAGATATTGTTGCAGTAAAAGAAAAAAACCTAATAAATATCAGAGGAATCAATCCGCAATAATCTGATCTCGTTTTACAGCAGCTGAATTGTGGAAAACATTCAAATTCCCACAGTTAGAGAAGGTCTCCCCGCAGAATCTCAGGTTCAAACCTCAAACAGACGTTGCAATTATTAAAAATTACAAAACCAAATTCTTTTTTATAAACTAAGACATCCTGACAAGGACAGAAATTTGGTTTTGAATTATATGTAAAGAGGAATGAAGCTCATTCACACCCAGATCACTCGAGTTTTTACCTTTCCATCCTGATATCAGACCGGTTCAGCGCAGACCTCATGGCTGAACCGTCTCAGCTTCAGCTGCTGATAGAAACAAAGTAGAAAGCTGAGCTCATAAGAAGCTTCCTTCATCTTCTAAGTTGGAACTTTGATCCTTCTCTACTTTCCTGCTTTATCAATGAGAAAGCTTCCAGGTTCTTTCCTCTTGAATTCATAACTTCTGACCTAAAATGGACAAACACACACAGAAACATTTATGGGTTCAGATAAACGCTGGAAAATAATATATTATCATGTTTTCCTTTCTGTTTTCTCCACACACTGTTCCACAACTGTGACATACAAAATGAACGGTCTCCTAAGAAAAGTGGCAAAGTTGAGACCGAGATGTAAAATATTTAAATGTGCAAAAAGATACTTTATTAAGCTGTAAAACAGGAGTTCGTGGGATTACAATGAAACCCTTACACACATTTTGAATCAAACAAAACAAGTTGGAGGAACACACACTCACACACTGAGAACGCATATATTTCTCCTTAAATATAACACTCAAATAATGTGATTTAATGTGATAAAAAATATATATATACAATTCAGAAAAATGCACGAATCACCAAAATGATTTTATTGCAGATTTGTTTTTTGTAGGAATAAGGAAACAGTGAAATCACTGTCTAAAAAAAATACTGTCTGAATGTGTGTTTGAATCCAGTCCTTCAATGAGCTGCACTCTGATTTACGCTTTTATGTTTCTATATTTCAAACAATCCTACATCTAAATCTTACATTTTTTTAGCTCTTTTGCTTCTCTTTTTGACTTTTTTTCTCTTATACTCGCACAAAAAAATGTGTTTTGTGTCAAATGTACTGTATATATATCTCTAAAACTAATTTATACACTCCATTTGAATCTAAAGATTTTTATGTGTGTGGTGATAAGAACATTTAATATTAACCAAATTATCCTTTGTGTGTGTAGGTGTGTGTGTGTGTGTGTGTGTGAGAGAGAGAGAGAGAAAAAGAGTGAGAGGGTGTGTGTGAATAGCAATCCATGTTTTCATTTATTTACATCTAAATAATCCTCTCTTTGAAATATACTTTTTTTTATCTAGTTTTTATTTATTATATTATGTGCAGTAATGTTATATAAACTGCAAATTTAGTTTGGCTGTATGATATAGCAGCAAAGACAACAAACAAAATGAAAACATTTTTTGTTTCAAATGCAACGCTGTGGTAATTTTCTCAAAGTAAAGTTTATTTTATTTCATTTTTTCTTTTAGGTCTCTTTGTGTCAGCATTTCCCCTCAAACAGAGAGCCAGTAGTGGAGCTCTGAGCCTTCAGCTGTACAGTCAGCCATTTTCTGTCTGACTGCAGTGTTTATCAAATCCAAAATTATCCATAAATAAAGAACAATGAAAGCTGTAAAATTCACGTAAGAAACAACTTTACAATAACCTCCCCAGGAGCGTTTTTCTTCCTACGTCACTTGCTGGCAGCAGAGCTAACAGGACTGCCTATAGAGAGGCCACATCAAAATGGCTGACTGTCAAATTCATTCAAAAAGCACAAATACACACTCCATGCATTATAAAGCCAGATCAGTTATAAAACCAGGTCAATTATAGGTCAGATAAATGAAAAGTCAAAGTTTGTTTTACATGTTGATGTTTTCTTATAGATGTTTTTTTTTATTTAAAGTTGTCCAATGACATGAGAGGAATTTACATTTAAACATCTTTTCATATTTTAGATTCTTCATCTTCTTGTTACCTTTATTATCTTTATTTTAAATAATTAATATATCCCCTGTATGTAAATGTAGAAATCCATCCACAAGTTATTGACTTTTAGAGGACAAGAAAGCCAATGATTATTTTAACCCTTAAGAATTGTGCATTTTAAATGTTTACTTGAGCACAGCGTTTTGAGTTTGATGGGATGATTTAGAAGAGTAAAGAGGATATATTGTCATAAAAGGAGAAACAAATGTTACGAAGTTAATATTTGTCTGTTTTAAATGGTCCATTGAGGAATCATAAAGAATACAGCCCTTCCAGTTCATTTGGGATCTTCTGGATCTGAAAATATCTCAAAAATTCATTCAGATCATTTCCTGCGTCGCCTTAACTGTCCGGCCTTCTTCACCAAAACTTTATTTTAAATCGTGCTGCTTCCCAAAGTCCCAACACGAAGTCAAAATCTTTTTCACTTTTTTTAGCTTTGATTTCAACAACAAACATACTTTAAATTATAGATTTACTATAACATTTCATTTTTACCCCACGAGAAAAGATAGATTTCACCGTACAGAATGAGGTGACGGACATAAAGGCTCCCTGTGCTCCATAGAGCTGCACTAAAAACAGGAACTTTTTGTTCCTGTAAATATTACCTTGGTTTATATGTAAAATTTACTGCAAATTTTCATAGAAGTGAATTTACTTCAAAATGACGCCTTTCATCTGATGTGTTACGTACAATTTATTTGTAAATCTATATCAATCAAAAAACAAGTCAATTTAATTTATCTTACCAAATAGTTTTAACAAAACTACTGAAATAAATTCCCATCTTAACAGGAGCAAAGCATTTGTGCTTGAATAAATTTGGTGTTTGTTCTGACCAGGTTTAGATCAGAAATAGAAAATATTGTTTCCTTATGAGAGTTTACAGCACTGCTGCCTTGCAGCAAGAAGGTCCTGGGTTCAATTCCCGGTCCAGAGTCTTTCGGAATGTAGCTTGCATGTTCTCCCTGAGCATGCGTGAGTTCTCTCCAGGTACTCTGGATTCCTCCCACAGTCTAAAAACATGACTGTTAGGTTAATTGGCTTCTCTAGAATCTCCTTGTGTGTCCACGGTTGTATGTCTCTCTCATCTTTTGTTCATAAGAGAAATTGGTGGTAAAATTTACTTTGTTTAATAATAATAAAATCAACTTAGATTTTATTGAGTGAAATTTATAAATAATTTCTTTCAAGGAAATTGTTATCTAAGTAATAGTGCTCCAATTTTTTTCAGTGTGTATAAAGATTTGACCGTCTCTAAAACTACAAATACTAAAGCTCGGTTGTGAGTGTTTGTGATCCAGAACGACAGCAGAACAGAAGTCATTTATATCTATCATAAACCTCTAAAGGAAAGCTTTAAAAAATATATATTTCTTTTTAAGAATAAACTAGGAAAATATTTTGAAGGTTTCTGGGGGGTTTTGACATTTATGTTCTTCACTAAAGTCTCATAAAGGAATAAATTATTTTAACTAACAGCTCTTTTCCTTGGTTCTAATAGAAAATCTCAGTTTTAATCATTTATTTTCTGTTTTCTTGCTGTGTAAATTCTTTCCAAGCTACAAACTGAAGAACAGTCCTTCGAAATATTTCCAATATACCTTAAAGTGCTCCACATTTCCCATCCCAGCCACAAAGTTTACACTGGGATTAGAGTGATAAACTTATAAAACCCTGGTCACATCATGGTGAAACATTGTGGTGGCAGCATCATGCTGTGGGGTAACTTCTCTTTAGCAGGGAGAGAGAAACAGATCAGAACTGATGGGAGGAATAGATGATTCAGATTTCTCTGTGTAAAATCATTTGTGGACGATGCTTTCCTTACCTCCCGCATCACAGTCATGCTCTCCTTTGTTTTTACTCTATCAAACAAAGTTCTAGTAAGACACGTCAAGGTCTGTGGTTGCTTCAAGACAGAATATGAACAATTTTAAGGTCTGAATAATTTTTAAAGGCCATTCTGAGGAATGGCTCTACATTTATTATGCTTCAACAACAAAAATATCACAGGAATCAAACGCATGTTCGGAAAATGATTTTCTAAACCCAAATTATGTTTTCTCATAAATAGCAGTATAAATATGCGATCAGATAAGCATCAGGCATAAAGATTTCCTGCTATCGTGTATTTTTAAGGTGGAGCCCTAAAAAGTTTAATTTGAAAGGTTAACCTTTCCTTTCACTTTACTGCAATATGAAAAACACTCTCGCATTTTTTGGCACCATTAAGATAAATCTATCAAATCTTTCATTGGCATAAATTTGATTAAGTTCCCATGCTAAAACAAAAACAATTTTTCTAGATTTCATGAATGAATGAACTAAAGAATAGCAAATCGCAAAGAAATATGGAAAAAAAAAACATCAGAATTTTGAGTTTATCGATAATTTCCTACTTAAATCTCCCTTTTGAACCACATAGTTGATTTTTTTTGAGCAACTATTGAAAGGCTTTTAGATGGGTGAAAGATTAGAATAGATTTTTGGATGTAATTTTCCTTTTTTTTATTATTATTATTTCATTGCCATGTGCTCGTTCTAAAAGACTCCTATTAGCCGCTTTATAAAGCCAACCAGCCAAAAAAAAAAACTTTTTGAAGATTCTATAATAAGTTGAACATTCTTCTGAAAGCTGCCTCGTTGAATGTTTGCAGGCGGATAGATCACCTTGAGTGCTGCTGTAAACAAATCTAAATGGCTTTTGTATGTTTTCTCAAATACTTACCATTTCCAGTCCGCTTCATTCAGGTACTTAGAACAACAACAAAGAAAGACAAAAGTTTGTGAACCCAGTTTGTCGTCTTGCTCTAAGTTTCTAAATCTCTGAAGTTGAACATCTTGAAAACAGGAAATAAGTCCTTTATAAAGTTTTTATTTTCACAAAAAGAGTTGGAGGTAGGGGTTAGCTAAGTAGATTTAAAGCTCTTCAACAAATGTTTTGATTTGATTTGCTTGGAAAGAAAAATCCCCCCAAATGGAATAATTTCATGAACACACAGTTCCATTCTTCAGCATCAAACAAGGATACTTTTCTTTGTTCAACTATGATAAAACATCCTTTCTACAGTTTTATTTTTAAAATTTAAAACGGTAAATCTAAATTAATACTGTAGAGAAATGGAGCAGAAAACCTTGATTATATAAAATCTCCAAATCTTTCTTACAATAACATGTTTTTCCTCAGACATCAGATAGGATATGTCAGCTTGTTCAGTTGTCATAGTTTTTAAAAGATTTCTGAATGTTAAGGTGCTTGAAAAAAAATCAGAACAATTAAAAATGAGAAATAGATTAAAATTGATCAAAGTTCCCACATCCAGCAAGATTTTAAATTCACTTTGAAACCCTTATCAAGAAGTTTATCTTTTTTATAAGGAACAAAAACATAACGGTGGAAGGAATAAACAGCCTAGAACTACAGAATAAAAGTGGTACAAATGGTCAGAACAAACTATGTAATATTAGGTAGAGAAAAGATTTATTTATCTTTATCTACCTCAGCAATTAAACTAAACATATTTTATTTTCTCAGCGGCCTCCACTAAGGCCCAACGACATCTGACTGCAGTGAGAGATTAACTTCCCAGAAACGCTGGGAAAGAAGAAAACTCTCAAAAAATAGAACCAACTAAAAACACAGATATGACCAGATCTGTTACGATATCTATAGTTTTTAAAAGCTGAGTGTGAGTTTGTTTAGTAGAGTTAGTACAAACTTCATGAGCGAGAAGAGAGACAGAAAAGTAGTGGATGATGTCTGCTTTTTTTCCCACAATGCATTTTGTTTTCTTTGTGATGTTGAGATGATTATGATTAGATATAGATAGATAGATAGATAGATAGATAGATAGATAGATAGATAGATAGATAGATAGATAGATAGATAGATAGATAGATAGATAGATAGATAGATAGATAGATAGATAGATAGATAGATAACTATTTTGTAAATGAAGAAAAAATAAAAGTTTAACAGCTAAAAAAGTGAAAGAATAAGTTGAAACGTGTTTATAGTTTGGCGTTAACTGAGCATGTGACTGAATGTGTCCGTTAGGAGACAAGCGTGTGAGTCTGAGTCAGCGAGTGTCATTATCAGTGCGTCAGAGTGAGAAGTAACTCGCAAACGTGTTGCTCTCTGACATATGCAGGGATTTCTGGGTAAGTAGACAGTTTACAAATCAAACATTTTGTGTTCACAATTCATTTACTAAAATATTCATTAGACATAAGAAATAAAGGGATATTAATTTTATCATGTATCTTTCATTAGAATGAAAAGTTATTTTGAGTCTTTTAATTCAGCTGCAGTATAGAATAACAAAAAGCACCAGTGGTTATATTTATATTTGATTATGGCTGTACAAAGGAAACTTTGTTTGCCATGAAAATTATACCAAAAATGAAAAAATTATAATCTAATAAAAAAAAATTAACATTTTGTCTGTGAATAAATGAGTACCCCTGAATCGTATTATTCACTTAGATCTGCAGATATAAAGAACCTTCACAGCACTGCTGAAAACATCTGAGAAAATGTAATCCATTTTTAAAAAATACTTAAAGTAAAAAAGTAAAAGTAATGCAGGAAAAAATGTTAAGGACAGAAGCTTTATATTCTACCCTATTAAAGGAAAATTTTTCTACAATTCTAGATGATAACTTCCTTAGACTTCATTTTCTTATCTTTATAACTAACAGTAACAGTGCCACATTTAACTTTGTATTATGTTGAAAAAATATTTATTTTGGTTTGTGGTGAACAACAAGTTAGGGCAGCACCGAGTCTAACCACAAGGAAATTAATTGTCTGGATGAAACTTATTATTTTGATGAGCTTAAAAAATGAAAATGAGCTTAAATGAAGTAAAACTAATGAGTTTGTATTTAAAATGTATTGAGTAGAAAGTAAAAAGTTAACAACATATTTACAAAGATCAAACCACTCCTATATTTGCTGAGCAGCTTTATTCATGATGAGCTGAAAGTCTTTGAGATTATGGGGCTTCCCTGCCTCACCCTAAACTTTTACTCCCTGCAAAGATTAAAGTTGGTACTTTGGGTGGAGTACAAAAAAATGTCAATGTACCCCCCCAGTCAGAGGAAACATGGGTAAAAACTACGGCTGAAACAATTAATCAGATTAATCAAAATGAATCAATTATTGAAAGAATCGTCAACTCATTTAGTAATTGTTTAATCGTTAACTGGAGTATAGAGACTTTAAGGTATGCCTTTAGCTGACAGAGCGACCCACTTAGAGCAGGAATTATAACAAACTAAAGAAAATTTTAAATTTTGCATTTAACATAAAAAGACACATTTATACCCAGATTGTTAAAAAATAACCTTGGAAACAAAGACCAGTGGATTGTTTGTTTTAAACTTTTTCAGAAGTTAAAAAATATAGAAATATTTTGCATTTAAAATAACAATAAATAAAAAAAAAAATAATAATGATAATTTAATCTGTCAATCTGTTCTATCCAGAACTCCTCAAGTGGAAAAGTTATAGTTTCATGTGGTTTAATTCTGTTAAAAATCTTCCTTGAGGAACATTTTGCTATCCGATTATTAATCGATAAATCAAAAAATAATTGACTGATTAATCAGTTAGCAAAACAGTCATTAGTTTCCAGCTCTCTTAAAAACAGAAAGACTGAATTGGCCAAGTGTACGAATAGTTTGGGGTTTCAAAATGTAGGACTACGGTGCATTTGAATTAAAAAGTGCATTAAATGAATGATGTCTCATGACAGCATGACTCACTGCAAGGTTCTCTGTCTCTGAATGGGACATAGAATTTAAAAGACACCAAGTATACGACACAAGTGAAAATACACAAGATCATTTCTCTGAAGAATAAAAAAATCTGTAAAGAATCATAATTTTCTTCTGCACACAAAAAAACATTCTTTTCAAAAAGTCAGAAATTGTTAAATGTGGTATGATCCAAAGCAGAAAAAAAACTGAATCTCTGCAGTGGATCAAAATGTGTCAGTAAAGAAAATGTAAACACTGATAAAACTGAAAATTAAAATGTTTTATTATTACCAGTAATGTAGAAATCAAAACAAGCAGAAACTGACATTGTGTCAGTGTATTTTATTGGAACCAACAAGTTGTTTCTCACATGTTGAATAAATTAAATCCTTTCTTTAAACCAATAAAATCTTTTTGGTATTTATATGTTTGATCTAACCTGCTGCCTTCAGGTGTTACCTAATTAGCGAAAGTTTGCCTTTGTGGATGATTTTCGAAAGAGAAGATTTTAAAGGGAATACATTACAACTTTTTTTCCAGTTTACCACAAACCATGTAGAGAAAATAGCAAACACCTGGGAGAAGCTGCAAAAGATCTGAAAGGTTTTTAACGCTCTGTATTATCCCTGAACGCATGATTCCCTTTAGATCCATACAGGTATCCAAACAAACACGAAAGTAAGATCTGGGACCTGATTAAGAGAATGTCCTCTTTCAGAGCAGCGAAAGTTCAGACTTGAATCCAATTGATTGTGAAGGAACAGAAAAACGGTTATTTACAGATGTTCCTCCTTCCAATCTAATTGAATGCAAGCTATTAAAAAAATAGCAGTTTGTTAATAAATGTAGTAGATACACAAAACGTATACAGCTTTTATAACAGCAAAATGTGTTTTATTTGTATTTAATTTTAATTTTTTAAAGATGATAAATTTGATCAATTCTGATCTTTTGGAGAAACTGGTTCCTGGTTCTACAAAAACTACATTATTCCCTCCACATTTTTCTATTCCGTTGGTATTTCTATTTCACATCATAATCATGCATCACCGTGTGTCGGTCTATCACATAAAATCCATATAAATTACTCTTCATTTTAAAGCAATATGACAAATTGTTAATATTTTTGAGGGGTGTGAATACCTTTTGGAAAGAATTGTTCTTGTAATCTAATTCAGATCAGTAAAAAATCTTCATCATTAAAATGACTCATTCTGAAGTGTTGCTCTATTAGCTTTTATAAAACTGACCTCTCATGAATTAAATTATTGAAATGAATGAATACAGAATTAATACAGAAAAGAAAAAAAATGAATTGATACAGAAAAGATCTTTCAAAACAAAATCAAATATTTTAAAAAAGGAACCCAAATGATGACTGTTTTTTTGTCACTTGTGAAGCTCTTAAATTAGGATAAAACTTTGAACTTTACCAAAATGTCTTTTATTCTTTGCCTGAAACTTTAATAGAGCTTTTATCCAGTTTGGTATAAACACGTTGAGCTCACCTGTGTTAGGGCTGAGTGGACCCTGGCCTAAACCCTGCCTCCCCTGGTGCTGAGGGGTTCTATTTACCTGCATACAGACATAAAAAAAAAGTTTAAAAACATGAAACATCTATTCCTAAATTCACAGATTTCATTCCACATTAAACACCTTGAATTCATCACACTTCCAAAGTTACGCAGAGATGATCAGAAAAACTTAAAGCTGCAAGAAACACCTCTGAGTCATTATCGCTGTCACCTGATCATCAGAAATAAAACCGGAAGATGCACACATCTGTCAGTGACGTATGGCCCAGCAGGACAATTCCAGCTTTCAGAAAAGTAAAGGAGTTTTGCAGAGTTGATGGATTGCTGTTCAAATTTATGCCTTTATGATTTTAAAGTAGGGAATCAGTGACAGAGGGGTCCTGTGTTTACATTTTATGCCTTTTCTGATTCCAAAGCAGCCATGCTTGGTTTCCATAGGTTTGATCATCATCATGTTTGATAAAAAATAAAAGACTGTATTAAAGGTAGAGCTTAGTAGGTTAAACATTTTATAAGTCGTTTTATTTCTGTTAAATTCAGGGCACCTGTAAACAAATGTCACCCATAAATGAAATATATAAACCCAGAATGGCTCATGTTTGTTTAGAGAAAAGATGAGCTGAATAAAATGTAGATGGACCCAAACTATTATCTGAGCACACACATTCAGGTCAGGAGAAAAAAAAAATCCCATGTATAATTTTCATATTAGTATCCCTTCCAAGAATATTTTGAACACAGGTTTAGTGGATCACAAAGGGTCTGGGACCATTCCTCTAGCCCCATACTTTCTAGACCAGGGGTCGGAATCCCGCGGCTCTGTAATGCGCTCCTTGCAGCTCACTGGAGCTTTTTAAGAAATGTATGAAAATGGGAAAAGATGGATTTTTTTTGTTTTTTTGTTCTAATATTGTGTGCAGGAGGAAGAACAAACATTCATTAATATGTTTTCCAATGCTGTAAAAATGTGTATAATAAATACATTTAAACAATGTCAGTGAAGATTTGCGTCATAACCTGGATCACACGTTTCCGTGCGGCGCGGTGCCAGGCAGGTGGCTGTTGTAAACAAAGCGGTGGGTGTGTCTCAGGCTATGGATCCCAAAGGGAAAAAAGGAAGATTGCTGATGAGAACAGAGGATTCAAAGAAGAATGGAGCAAATAATTTGCTTTCAGGAAGGATTGTCTGCATGTTTGCTTTTAATAAGAAGTTGTCAACTAATTCATTCAATTCATTTCAGTTTATTTCTATAGTGCCAATAATCAAATGATAGCTAAACGTAAATTCATTTTATAGGGGTTTTTAGAAGATTTTTACCTGGCCTATAAGTGAGAAAGACTTTTTGAATGAAAATCAAAGATTTACATGAACTAATCGAGGAAAAAAGCCAAGGATGAGGATGAACTGAAGGAGCTGGAGAGAAGAAGAACTCAACACCTTCTGAAGAACAGGAAGTGTGGATGTGGGAATGTGAAACTAAAGGAAGGAAACGTCACAGTCCAGCCAAGATTTCCCTCCTTACCCATTAAGCGCCTGTTAAAGAGTCAATGAGGGAAGATGATGGAGAGGAGAGTGTAGGGTTGGGCAAAGGTTTAATATAAAAAGGTTAACAGAAGCAACAATCCACAAATGTAATCCTCAAAATCGAAAAATACTGAAAACCAGGAATACTCACAACAAGGGGGCAAAGAAATGAGGACAAACAAGCAAAAGTGACTGAGCAGGTAGGCTCACCAGGCTCAAAGCATCATGAGGAAGGGAATCGATATGCATTTTTTTGTTCTGATTAACATTTAAACTGTTCTAATTTTTACTTAGACCTATTATAGAATCACCACTAAATTCAGTATTACAGCTAATGAAGAAACGATCGCAATTATTGTTATCTGTCACATTCCAAAGTATTTCCAAAAGCTCAAGCCTTGGTTCTGTAAGATGCTTTGTAGATGTCTGCTGCTCTTTCTGGCAAAGCAACTGCAGTTTTCTTCTAAAAAGAAAACATATGATAGTACTGCGAAATACGATGTACTAACAAAAGTATTTTCACATCCATCCAAATTATTGGAATCAGGTGCTCCAATCACTTCCATGGCTACAGGCAGAAATAGGGGATCTGGAGTCAACAAGTCATCTCTATGTCATATATTTGTTCTGCCCAGCCACTGAACCACATCAAGAGTCAAATCTGCACCGGTTGATTAACTGCAGATTGGACTCACCTGGTTAATTGGCTGGGCGGAACAAACACATGACATTGGCTGTGTCCAAACATCCACCCTAATCACTATATAGGGCACTATATAGTGATTACGCCATTTTATGAGTGTCTGAACGTCTAGTGGCTGAAAAAGTAGTGGACTCGAAATCTCCCACAATGCACCTTGAAAAGTAGTGATCATCCATGGTCACTAGTCGAGCAGATATATCCCATTGCTTTGCGAGAGTTCTCCTTGCAAAACATCATGGGATTTGTTGTAGCGACGACTATTAACAAAGATGTTGCAGGCCCTGTGCGAGGAGGCAGAGTCACGTGACCAATGGCGAGTGAAAAGTAGTGATCATCTGTCCAAAGTGCAAGTTAACTGAGTTTACTTCAAGTCCACTATATAGTCCCCATTCTGTCCGGGATTGGGATATCACTGAAATTCATGTGTGAGTCAGGGGAGGGGAGTGAAGACTTTTGGCAATATAGAGTATGTAATATATATTATATTCAGCATAATAAATGCTCAGTATGAACCTTACTAGTTTAATGTGAAATCACTAGTTAAAAGCAGTAATGAAAGTTAAACACCTGGACCTCATTTTGGCCTAAAAGTAAACTAAGATCTATAGATGGTTATAAAATCTAACCTTACTTGGCTGCAGATATAGGAAATGTAGCTGATGTAATTAGTTAGTGTCACCATCAATAACTAGTTAGATTTAAAAAAAAAAATAACTGCCTTTGTGGGACACCTACACTGCTGTGCAAAATCTTTTTTTTAAACCTGTAAACATTAAGTTGTTTTAAACGAAAATTATGTTTGATTTTTCAAATAAAGAATATTACAGAAAGTAAAAGGATAGCTTACATTTCCTTTCTTTATTTAAAGACTCAGATGGGTTTATCTGTTTTCAGCAACCCCTGAGTCTATAGGCCTACACTGTAAAAACTCTGTAAAAACACCTTTGGCTGCTATTATAGCAGAATATGCCTCTCTTAGCTTAGCAAAAACAGACAGAGACTTCTTGTCCTTTGTTTGTTTTGCATAATAGAGCACACTCAGTCAGACTGGATGGAAAACATCTGTTTGGGATCCAGATGAAACGTAAACCTCTTCCCCGGTCTCTGCTATTTTCTTAAGTCATTGCTCCTTTTTAAGCACCTTACATCTTGAAGATAACTATTCTCACAGCATGATACTGCCGCCACCATGTGTGAACATTAAGTGGGATCTTTTTTTCATCAATGGCCTTCTTCCTGCCAATTATCAATAATGGGTAGACCTGTGCAGTACAGCTTTAATAATTATTCTGCCATCAGATTATTCTCCATAATCTCTGCAGCTCCTCCAGAGTTACCGTTGATCTCTTCTCTGGTTTTTGTTCAACTTGCCTGTCTTGTAAGTTTAGGTTGACCTCCATCTCTTGGTAGATTTCCAGTTTTATAAAAGTCTTTGCATTTCTATAATGGTGTAAACGGTGCTAAGTGAGATGTTCAAACATGGGAATTTGTTTTAAACGACACCCTGATTGGAAATTCTACACAGCTTCTCCCTGACCTGTTTGGCACATTCCTTTATAACTGTTGCTCTCTAACAAACCTGTGACGTTTCCACAGAGTAGCTGTGCTATTAAAAAAAAAAAAAAAAAAAAAAAAAAAGCATGATCATTTTCTTTTTGGTGAATTTTCAAGTAAATTCTATTTAGTGGTTTTAAAATAAAGGTGCAGAATAAAAACAGCTTCAGATTTCTATTTGTGAAAACTATGCATGACTTGTCATCAAAAACAAAGATTATTTTTTAAATACATCTTTGGTATTTATTAAATAATAAATACAATTATTTAAAGTATTTGTAAATTATTTACTGGTTTGTTTTGTTCTAATATGTGCTTGTAACATGAAAAATTGTTCACACTGAAACCACACTGAGATTAATTGATTAGATTAATCATATCATATGAATTTATTTATTTCATCTAGTATTAAGACTCAAAGAGGCCTCTGGTTTATTTGCTTTTACTTGTTTAAGGAGTAAGTTTACCAAATGTTATTTTTATAATTTACCTAAATTAATATTTTTATAATGAAGGAACAAGGTTATAAAGCAGCTATAAAGCATTGATTGAAACCTGATACTACAGGCTATTATTTGGGTCTTTATTACACAGTATTAAATCTAGCCATATATTTGATTAACTGGGATTATCAGGGTGGGTCAAAGATCATAGATAAAACAGTTCAGCGCTTGTTCAACATGAACATTGAGCACATTTAAGGTAAAATAAGACGTGTAATAAAAATCAGAGCGTGCAGACGTTCAGGAGCATGTTCTTCCTCACATACATCCCTCTGCACGTGTGTTTCCTTTTGTCTGCAGGGCCGGCGCTCAAGTGAATAAAACGTTGCTCAGCTAAAAATAAATAAAGGGCTCCAGAAGGTAGTGAAAAGCATTGTGAGCCGGGAGTCACGACCAGAAGTGGTGGTGACGATACATTCTCATAACTGCACAGACACACACACAAAATTACACTTCCTTTTCATTCAAATGCTGAGAGAAAGACTATCATCAGCCTATGCACAACGTGACATTATGGCTATCAGATGATTCAAAAAAATCACAAGTAAATGGGAAATAAAAAAAGAAATAAATAGAAAACACATAACATTAACATTAGTAATAATAACCCAAAAATTTGATGTGTTTCAGAAATAACCAAAGTAATGTACTGAAAATATGCTTTTTAAATTTAATTTCAAGCACGTAAAGCTTTAAATATGATATTTTTTTCTTCAAATTAATAGTCATTTGTGGTTTTATCTTTATATATTTTA